GGATGTCGCTCTGCTCTCTGCTGTCATATTGTTTGAGTGCAGAAAAAAACTGGGGGGGGGGGGAAGGGGGAAGCACTCTCCCAAAGATTGGTGTCCACATTTTCTGACCGGAGCCCTCCAACCTTGGATGATAGGCTAAGAACGCATAGCTAACCTGCCCCAGCCTATCACTCACTTTCTTCAAAGGTATTGGTCACTGTCTTCGAAGGTATCGCTCACTGTCTTCGAAGGTATCGCTCACTGTCTTCGAAGGTATCGCTCACTGTCTACGAAGGTATCGCTCACTGTCTTTGAAGGTATCGCTCACTGTCTTTGAAGGTATCGCTCACTGTCTACGATGGTATCGCTCTCTGTCTACGATGGTATCGCTCTCTGTCTACGATGGTATCGCTCTCTGTCTACGATGGTATCGCTCTCTGTCTTTGAAGGAATCGCTTGCTGTCTTTGAAGGAATCGCTTGCTGTCTTCGAAAGTATCGAAAGGTATCGCTCTCTGTCTACGAAGGTATCGTCTCTCGCTCTCTGTCTACGATGGTATCGCTCTCTGTCTACGATGGTATCGCTCTCTGTGAAGGAATCTGTCTCGCTTGCTGTCTTCTATCGAAAGGTATCGCTCTCTGTCTACGAAGGTATCGCTCTCTGTCTACGAATTGCTCTCTGTCTACGATGGTATCGCTCTCTGTCTACGATGGTATCGCTCTCTGTCTTTGAAGGAATCGCTTGCTGTCTTTGAAGGAATCGCTTGCTGTCTTCGAAAGTATCGAAAGGTATCGCTCTCTGTCTACGAAGGTATCGCTCTCTGTCTACGAAGGTATTGCTTGCTGTCTTCGAAGGTATCGCTCACTGTCTTCTAAGTCATTGAAGGTTGAATGCACAAGGTACAGGGAAGACCCCATATTTTTTCATACCACTCCAAAACATTAGTAATAATAGTTCTTATGTCTGCCCTTTTAAGAAGAATAAGGAAAAAAAGCTATTTTGGCACAGTCCCAGCAATGCCCAGTTAAAATGTACGTTATTTAATCAGACTGTGCCCTACGCATACGTATCTGGATACCACTGCAAAGAGCATATCTGATATAACGTAAATCTGATCAAAACGTCTCTTCCTATCAGGAACACAGAAGGTCAGCGGATATCATGTACCCCTTATCGTGTTCTTCGTTATACTTATTAACTTAGAATATTGGCAGCTCTGCACATACATATCCATCTCTCTCAGCTATCGATGTGAGCAGCTGTGTCAATGTGTGGCCCCCAATATAAATACACTGTGTCTGGTAAGGGTGTATCTAGATATGTATCAGGCAACAGTATCCGAAAATAGTTCCATAAGTTTTGGCCTTGCGGTCGGTCTTCGTTCGCGGAATAAAAGTCACGAAATGTTTGCCATCCATGGCTATACTGGTGTTTGTGTGAATTCCTGTGTTTGCATTAGTCTTTCTACCGGACGGCAGCTTGTTCGGTAGTTTCGGCTTGAATTTATGGGTGTTTGGAGGTCTCAGCGGTGTTTGCCTAGTTGAATGTCGAAGTTTAATTCCAGACACTCGACGGCAAAATACCGCTGTTTGGAAGATTAAGATGGCCGCCGCCTCATGTAAAACTCCCGAATGGCGGCCACTCCTAGAACAAATTACCGATTGTCAATTGGGGTTTGCAACCTTGTTGCAAACGGTAATGAGAGGCACACTTATCCCTGGGGTGGTCTGATTGTTCGGTAGTTTCACTTGTATAGTAAACGGAGTGATTTTACCGAACAATCAGTCGAATGCTGCATACAATGTGAATACATGGAATAGCAATACACGAAAGCATTTTAAAATACATGAATTTTGGTAGACAGCTCAATGTCCTGTGCTGCATAATTTATATAGTCCGAAGTCTCTGCAATATTCTATTATATGCCCTTGGCTGTTTCTTAAAGGGCCAGTAGTGCCATACAAAAATTCCATTAAGCCCAGCCATGGTGTTTAAAGGGTCCTATCTTCCCGGGACCATAATCACTGGGCAGGAGGTGAGCAAGCAGCCCCCTCCAGGAAACCGAGGTAGACTCTTGTACAGGGGCTAGTCCGCTACAATGTACTCTGCCCTTGGGTATTTACATCCAAGATGCATTATCTTGCACTTATCCACATTAAATGTCAGTTGCCACAACTCCGACCATTTTTCTAGTTTACCTAAATCATTTGCCTTTTGGCCTATTCCTCCTGGAACATCAACCCTGTTACATATCTTCGTATCATCAGCAAAAAGACATACCTTACCATCAAGACTTTCTGCAATATCACTAATAAAAACATTAAAGATAATGGGTCCAAGTACTGATACCTGAGGTACCCCACTGGTGACAAGTCCAAGCTTTGAATATACTCCATTGATTACAACCCTCTGTTGCCTGTCACTCAGCCACTGCCTTACCCATTCAACTATATTGGAATCCAAACTTAAAGATTGCGATTTATTGATAAGCCTTCTATGTGCAACAGTGTCAAAAGCCTTACTGAAATCTAGGTAAGCAATGTCTACTGCACCACCCTGATCTATTATTTTAGTTAGCCAATAAAAAACAATATATATCTAGATACACTTACTGGACACAGTGTATCAGCCACCCATGTAAATACATATCTATATACACACGTACTAGACACAGTGTATCCACTAAAAGCAATGAGGAGATGGGATTGTCTGAGAACACAGGCCATTCCTATGTTCTGCAGACTCCTGGAAATTGCATTTGTTCACCGCTAAATGTCTATGAATTTCTGCATTTATTTGTTTACCATTTTTAATGCGTTGTCTCCATAATGCAAATGGATAGGTACCTTTGTTCTCGTGTTAAATAGACATTGCCAGCCAACATTCTGTCTAATTATTATTTGTACGTAACAGACACACCTGAAGAACTAACAGCTAGCCGGAGTTGTTATCCCAGCAAGAATGCTCTGCTGAGGTGAGCTAGACCTCATCATTGCAACTCTGAGAATACAATGTAATAAAGAAGGTGGGTTCTCACATCCCTACAGCATTACGCTATGCTGGGGCACCCCTCAACCCACAGTGTAAGGAATATAAGAATAACTTCTGTGGGTTCCCCCTCCTGGTTACCAAAACAAGTATATGTAAAAATGGTGAATATTTATTTTGAAGTAATTATAGTGCCTTCTTCAAAAATACGTTGAACTGATATAAACATTATGAAGAACGCATGAATCAGAGATCTCGGCTGAAAAACAAGTTACTTACAGGATTCTAACGTGGAACACATATTGGAATGCATGATTTCACTGGACATCGTGTGTGATGACGTCAGTGCACCCGGAAAACACCGGAAAACCATTGAGGCCCGGCACCGAAAATGGAGGAAGGCAATTAAAGTGGTATGTAAGGACTGGGGAGGGCAGGGGAGGTTTATATTCATTTGAACACTTTTATTGGTGAAAGTTAAATTTCATCTCCCCATTGGTTTAAGTGGATACACTTTTGGGTCAAGAACACTATCATGTATAGTGTTAAACACAATCTAGCACCTGTGCGCCCCCCTTCCTGGCCTAAATATAGTAAAATCTTACCTTTAATCCAGCCTGCTGCTGGCTCTGCTCCTGATCTCTTTGGCTGACATCATCAGAAGTGGTGATCTCAGCCAATCACAAGTCAAACACAGCTCTAGCCAATCAGCATCTCCTCATAAAGATGCATGCAGAGGGTGGAGACACTGAATGTCAGTCACATTGTGCAGCAATGCCCCAGGAAGCTCCTACAGCAGCCATCTGAGGAGTGGCCAGTGGAGTTATCACTAGGCTGTAATGTAAACACTGCAAAAAGCATGAAGGTAAGGATTGTAATCACCAAAACAAATACAGTGAGCTGTAGTTGTTCTGGTGACTATAGTGTCCCTTTAAATACATGACGAAGTCCTTGAACTGGATGAAACTTGTTGGGTGGCTAGTGGTGACTTTGAGCTATCACTTGCTGTTTTAAACTTGAATGAAAAGGAGAAGATTAACCCTTTGATTATGGAAGTTTAAACCTGTTCCTGACTGCCTAATGTTAAATCTGTGCAAAAAATGTCTATCATCAGCGTACAATGGGGAGTGTGCAAATTCCCTCCCTTTTTTCATTTAAGCCCCTGATCCCTATACCATTTTTAATGGCTCTTCCCTCTGTCCATCCCCACTCCCTCACCTTACTGTCTCAGGGCACTCGCATGTACACCCAGCCATGAAATGGTCCAATCACATGCTTCTCTATGAGAAGAATTTAACCTCGCGAGGGCACCAATCCCATAGGATGGGGCGACTTACGGTGCTGGATTCCAGGTAAGTTATTGCTTTGGTTTTTTTTTTGGTTTTTTGGTTTATGGTTTTTAATTTTAAAACACGATTTGGGTGGACATGCATAATCGGACCCAATAGTCCTGCAGTGTATCCGGATAAAATATATATAAATAACGTTTATTGACTGACTTTGCGAACGATAAATGAAAATCCCCTTACCAGCAAACCGGGCAAAGAAAGTTTGAAATCGCCGTATCTGTTTGTGCTGTTCTTAATTTGTTATTTATATTGCGTAATAACCAAGTGCTTAGCATTGCTGAGTTAAGTCCATAAAATGGATTATTAAAGACATTTTTTCATAAAGTCAGATGTGCACAGGTTTGTAGACTAACAATGAGATGGTAATGTGTTTCTGTATACGGTTCTAGCAACAATACATTCAATTTTGTGCAATTTAGACAAAGCAGTCTGGAAGGAGAATTAATCAGTCTGCACACACTATTTAATCACAGCCTGTCTTTGTCTATCTCCTGTTCTGACCTGCCTACTCATTGCACATCACTGTGATATGCGTTGTCACTTTATGAATAAGAATACGTTCAGTGAATCAAAAAGATATGCCTGTCTTACAAATCTACCTCGCAACGCGCTTGTTTCTTGCATTTGTTGAGGTTTCGGAAATTGCCTCTATAAAAGTCGGGGGTTAACTTTTCAGCCCACAAGAGTTGACAGTACCAAGAAAAATTGAGAAGTATCTCCTGTGAAGGTTAGTGTTTGCCGATGTGGTGGTGGGACCTTGTGGGGAAGTCGGTGGAGCTTCATACCAAGTCCATTCCAGGAGGAAAGAGATTGTCATCCATAGTAATTGCTTTTCAAACCCGAAGACTCCGGGCAAACACAGGCAATATTCAAGGTATGATAATTATGTATGGTGCAGAATGATCTATTTATACATAGTAATGATAACACATGGAACATCCAGAAAATATTTAGTAAATAGATGCAGAAGTGATGGAGGAACTTATAAACTGGTAACAAATAAGAGTTATGTCTGCGCTTTCTAAGTTGGTACCAAGAACAGAAGGAATCCTACTAGCACGCTATAGGCCAAACTCGTCTAAAGAGAGCTGACAGAGAGGGGAATATTATAACTCTCTGATCGTATGGGTTTTACGCAAAGATTTCCAAGTGATGAACTCTAATTCTTAGACAAAAAAACGGGGAGAAGGAATAGCACCCCAGATATACCCAACCACAGATTAACAACCAATGTCAGGGATACCAGAAATCAAAAATACTACTATTAATAATACAAATAAACTAGCCAGGTCATAGCCAAATCAGAACCAGGAACTGTGAACTACAGGGCAGCAAGAACAATGAACCAGCAGTGGAAAAAAAACATCAGCTGGCATAAGGTGGACATTGACGCAGTGGGACGCTTTGACATGACTGTGTAACTCTATTCACAAACATATACGTTTTGAGAGCACTCATCAGTGGCACCAAAAATCCAGAGTACCAGATCTTCACAGCATTTCTATGAAGGGGGCAGGCATGCAATCAAGTAAGTAAAAGCAGTGTTTTAATCCACACATAGAATGATGCCAGACCCGGGGGTAAAAGCCTTTTTATCTTTCTTTATCAGTCTTTCTAAATGTACCAGTCTCCTCTTCATATATCTTATACCATCCTTGCTGATCTGTAGCTTTCCTGTTTAATAAATAGCCTCTCGATTTCATCAGAACTCCTGGTACCCAGCCTTTTCTATTATCAGACCCCACGCATTTCCAGTCAATCAATTCAAATCTCTACATAATGCTGCTCCCACCTATCTATCCTCCCTTATACACAAGTATGTCCCGTCTAGGCCCTTACAATCTGCTGAAGACTTACGTCTGTCTTCTGTCCGTACTCCCACCTCTGATGCTCGCCTTCAAGATTTCTCGAGGGCTGCACCGTTCCTGTGGAACTCGCTTCCCTCCTCCGTTAGATGCTCACCCAGTCTCCACTCCTTCAAAAAATCGTTAAAAACCCACTTCTATATAAAAGCGTATCAATTAAACTGTTAATAGCTCCTGACTGATTCCTTTACTGCAACTGCCACTAGTCTAATACTATCCTTACCTTTTTGTGTCATTTTACCCCACTCCCTCTAGCATTTAAGCTCATTGAGCAGGGCCCTCAACCCCTCTGTTCCTGTGTGTCTAACTTGTCTGGTTACAACTACATGTCTGTTCGTCCACCCATTGTAAAGCGCTGCGGAATTTGACGGCGCTCTATAAATATCATAATAATAATAATCCGTACACTCTTTGTTTAAGAGCGGAGACCAATTTGGAGTGAGCCAGTCACCACAAGAAATACTTGTGAAACAAGGCCTCCCTCTGGGATGGGCCTTACTATATTTATCCTGATCCCATCATTTCCAGGAAAACATGGTGGCTTAATATCGTTTATATTTTATTCTGGTGCAAACCTCCATCAACGCATTTAATTCTATCATGAATGCGGCAGCAGATAATTCTATCCTATAGAGTGGAACCCAGAGAGGGCAAATCTATTCTTGGAAACAGCAATATAATATTTCATATATTTATTCTTCAAGAAGTAATGTTTTCTTCTCCCAATTGTTTTCTGGTTCTTCCGTTCTATAGAAAAGGCTGGCAAGTGAGACACAGGAGAAGTCTTGGGCCATTGAAAGAAGAAAATGACTCTTCAAGGAGGTGAAGAGTTCACACCCTAGGAAGCCATGATGGGGTCGGGCATTTGGTTAGACTTCCAGCTGTTGGTAAACTACAACTCCCATGAACGTTCTCAGGCCAGGAACCTAGCAGCTAAGCACCCCTGTTATAGGGTTTTATTTTGTTAAATTGAGGTACGTGTTTCGTCGACCCATGAACTGCAAAATTTACGTCAATGTAACCAACTTAGAATATTGGCTTCTCTGTATAGTTGAAGATGATCGTAACTTTGTTATCCGGTTTCATAGTTCACTGTTTGGTATATAAAGACAGCCATTTCTGTTTATGAAGTTGTATATTCAAACGAATGATCGAGCTGTCAAAAAAATATATTTTGGAAATGTTAGCAATGTATTTTACTTTTCCCTGATTAAGCTAGTGCAATTGACTGTTTAAGTAATAAATCTCTAGCTAATTCTCATGAAACACAAAGAATCTTCCCCCTGGGTGTCTCCGATTGGAAGCACACAGAATTTGTAATTTAGATATTTTTTCAATGAGTCCCTGATGTTTCTATATTGTTACTGCAAATATTCCCAGTCTTCTGAAATATTATGTAAACGTTTGATGAAAATCACCACCTGATGAATGGACCTGTGGCATGAGTAATTATCTTTTCATGTGCAGGTATTTCTGGTAACGCAGGAGGTGAAAAGTAAAACTTTAATGGAACACTCCATACACCATAACCACCACAGCATGTTTTTATGGTGCTTGAAGCGTTCCTTTAAAAAAATACTTCCCAACGCCTTTTTTTCTTTCCACAAAAAGTGAAAAACACCAGTTTTCTCAATTCATGTAGTTACTCTTTGCATCATCAGAACATTAGAAAAGCAGATTTAACACCTAAAACGTTAATCTTTTTTTAAAATTTTACGTTTTGAAAGTTGTCGTGGATTGAAGACCAATCAGCTATGTGAAAGCATGTACCGTAAACTCGATAAATACTGTAAACTAAAACTCTCTTACATGTACAGCGCTACGGAATTTGCTGGTGCTATATAAATAATAAAAAAATAATATTAATGTTGAATCTCTTTACACATTATACTTTGATACTAGGTGGAGTTGTACAGAACTGCACACAGTCATACTTTCTGATTGCTTTTAAAAAGTCCACGCAAACCACTGAAACATGAATTCTACAATATCTCAATCAATCACACGGTCACCCAGTCTGTATATTTCTTTGCAGTCTGTAAGCATCTTTTAACAAGAAGTTTTGCAAGAAGCCTTGTTGCACTCTATTGATCTCCTGTTGCCATTAATTCATTTGCTGCATTTGGACCCGAAACTCAGGGTTTGTTAGCCCTTCTGGCTGCCTGTTAAGGGGTTAAACAGAGGGTCTCCAAATTGTTCTAGCTCCCTGTGGAGTTGAAGCTTACACTATAACATGCTCCAGAGTTTTATAGCAAATGTCCCCTAGCTAGGATGCCAAATCCACTTATTTGCTTGGATAGAGTGTTGAGTCCAAATTTGGCACAGCTGGATGATCTGAAATGGCTAGTATACCCCCTCAGGGTTCACCCCTCCTTCACCTCCTCCCCTCTTTTTTTTCTTCACTTTAGGGGGAGGGTCAGAGCTGGGTAGAGTTTGGGAAAACTCCCTGCTATATTGTCAGCTGAGCAGATAATTGAAGGGTTTCTGTCTGACTAGCTGAAACTAGTTAGAGGAACACAAAGGATTGGGAGATAACAGGCTACAAGCAGCAACTGCTCTTGTAGTGCCAACTCAACTCTCCAAGTAACTCTGTCCTGCTTTATACCCAGCTAGAGAAGAGTAGGAGATAAGGAGACAGTGGGAAAACAATCAACAAGTAAGGTAAGAAAGTCCAATTTCTTGGGTACCAAGGGAAATATCTGGCACATGTGGAACTGAGATGATCAAACCTGTCAGGACTTTATCTCCGGAGACACCAAAGAGATCAGACTCACTGTATCCAAATCCCTTGATGAGTAGTTATTAAGGTGGTTCTTGAACTAATTGGATCAAATTGTAACTGAAACATTGTATCACTATTTCTTGTACTGGAATTTGTTTGCCAAAAGTGCCCCTTTTCTGGAGAGCCTTACCATGGACATATTGATCTAAATGGTGGGATTGTATGTTTAATCCAAATGGAACAATGGGGGTACTGTTGTCTCCAGACTGTGTGAACTATTTTCCTTGAAAATAAATTTTTTAAAAGAGTGTAAGATCCCACAGGGCACATTTTTTTGTTTAAATGTTCAATAAGGGGGTGATAAAGTGAGGGTCATTAAATGTCTGGGTTTTGAAAGATCACACCAACCCAAGGGTCTTGACCTGCAATTTACTACATGAAAAACCAGCCCCCTAATAATTTGCTTATCAGTTTACAGTTGTTGTTGGAGGTCAACTATCTGATGGAGAGGTCTCTGTAGACATGGAATGGGTGTTATTGGAAGGGCCATTAAGGTGATAGGAGGAAGAGTTGGATAGGAGAGGGAGGTCCAGCATGATTCAGAAATATTCTGAAAGAAAAGTTAGCACTATACATCCAAAAGAACCTGGGAAGCACTAGTGTTGATTGATGCTGGTATTCCATAATCCCCTTGTTTGTAGCATTAAATTTCAGCTTTTTATCTAAGTGCCACTAGTATCTTTGGGCCAAGTACGCTAAATGTTACCCTTTCATTCATCACGTACTCCTAATACCAACATATACTCTATGGAATGAAACTGCTACATAACTTTACTTTAGAAACATCTATAGGATCTGAGAATTCTTATTAATCTTGGATTCTCAATATTCAGCCATCTCAGCACGGTAAGTGATTTCTTGAAAACCAAAGTTGTGTATATGTATCCCTAAAAATCAAACTGTTTAATTGAAGGTCCATTGGATTGATTGCTGTTCCTTAAGAACATCTGCTTTTTTTCTTCATTTTTAAAACCTAATACAGGTGTACTGAATGGAAGGCAATGAGACAGATTACATCAAGTAAAAGTTACATTTGTGTTAGGGTCCATATTGACATCAATACGAACTTTCTCAGGAGGTCAGTTTGGGGAGCTGAGATTTTTTTTTGTCCATGATTTGGGGTGAACTGAGTTGAGGCAGCTGTCAATGCAATTTGTTTTATGTTTGAGGTGCTGGGAGACCTGAAGGATTTAAAACTGGAGTTGGGTGCAGGATGGTGTTAGCATGTGCCAAAGGTAGTGGTTATTAGTTTTTAAATTTGAATGATCTCATCTTGCATTGTTGCCAACTAGGGGTTTACTGAATAAACCCAAAATTGGCTCACAACCCTTTCTCTCAAGTTCCTGTGATTTTTTATTTTTTTTTTTGCAAATCAGCATCTTTCTTTCCAACTGGTATCGGATCACAACTCCCATTAGTCGCCTTTACTCTCCGACAACAAGAAGACTGTCTGATCTAATAGATTATTTTTTTTACTTTGGATTCTTTGAGATTTTTTGCCAGTGATGTAGTGAAATCCCTCCTGTAAGAGGTGATTTAACATAAACTGATTTAAAGTAATTTCAATGTGAATTTAACATTATTGTCCAAAACAGATGAATTGGGGATATCGTTTTAGCTTGGCCAATTTTGGTCTCAAAATGTTAAATCAATTTTGAATTCCCAACAAATCACACTTTAGTGATTAACCCTAACAGCATATCTTATTGAGTGAGTGACTGGCTTGCCCCAAACATGTGTTAGCAATGACTACGAGCCAAATAATATCTAATGATTGCCATTTCCAACTAGGAGGTTCAAGAAACACGTACCTTCAATTATTGTATTTTTTTCTGTTCCTAACCCTCTGCCATCTACAGCTGTTCTACTTCTCTGTATTTTGCTCAATCTCCTTCACTCCATTAGACTCCATTAAACGCTCTCACGGGGCTATTTAAATATTTATACAGCTTTTAATATACTTTATTTGACCAACAGCCAAAGCTCTCGACCTGCTGAATGCCTAACTGCATAGATTCTTTTCTTTCTCCCCCCCCCCCCCTCTTTTTAAACAAAACAATCCAGTAAAAGTTAATTGGCCAATTAATATGTAATCCTGAATTTAGCGATGTTAACGTGACCTAAAATTTAAGTTTTGATCCCAAGTGTGTCTGCTAAATCCGCAGAAGTTGTGGCTCTCAGCCAAAAATAACAGTAACTTTCTAAGTTTTTAAACAATTTGAGATTTGTTCATTTCTTAATTATTGTGAAAACAAAACATTACCTCACATCCCCGGCACCACAAATGTGGGTTGTTTTAAAAGTCCATTCTTTCATTCTTTTTTTAGTTTGGGGTTGACCTTTAACCTCTGATGTATAGACGCCTTGAGCAACACAGCCTCCTCAGACACTTAAAGTTAACACACAGGGGAGTCGTTTAATTTATTGGTAAAACCGTATTGTAGAAAATGTTTCATTTATTTATTTTACATTTTATTAATGAATTTTCAAGAATGGCAGAACACGTACTGGTGATGCTAATATGTCCTTCTGCAAATCATTCAGAAAATCAAAGTCTAAACACCACACAATATTATCAAATATGGCAAAATAACCGAGCTCTGACTTTAGCTGAGGTTGAATAATTAGTCAAATAAACCATTGACACTCAATGGGTTCTCCAGCCACCAGGACCACTTCAATGTTTTGAAGTGGTCATGGTGGTTGGACTTAGTATGTGCAGCGGTTCAGCTTGAAACAATGCACATTCTGAGATATTTGTAATTGTGTACAGGAAGGGTTAGTTGAACCCCTAGCATATGTGACATTGGTTGCCCAGAACACTGTTCCCGGCTGCATTATGTCAATTCTGTGCATGAATTAGGTCAAAATCTAGATCAGTATAGTCACAGTCAAGGGCAGTCTGCTGACTGACAGGTGCAAAAGGCGGAGCTTATAACAATGATTTGACAGAAAGCCAAGTAGGAGGTTCTCCATTCCAGGATAGAGATATCATCACAAACATATATTTGTTAACAGTATGGAATGTGTCAACATGATTTTATAAATTCTGGGAAGCGAACAAACATTGCTAGTGAGATACCACAACCACAGTCAAAGGCTGTCGATGGTTGCACCACTTTGTATATAATGCTTTACTGAAACCATGCAGGAACTTTAAATCATATCAAGCGGTTATACTGTCAAAAACTGTAGAAAATGGTGAAAAACAATATTGAAAACGTACAGATCAGTCTGTGGAATTAAGTCGTCACACAGAAAACACAACACAAACATTCTGCAATATTTAAACCAATAATTGCTGGAGGGTAAATTACTCCCACCTTTATCATATCATACACATACATCCTCTGCCGCCAGCCATTCACTGTAACCTTTATATTGTACTATAATATATTAAAATCTATTCATTTTGTGTTTTTTTTTTTTTTTTGGGTGTGCCTAAAGTCAATCTGCCCGAGGGGCACCGGGAATAGAAAGACATTCATAACATGAAGCAAGCCTTTCTCACGCCATTCTTAACTGAATTAATAATACACGTTGCAGTTTATATTAAGTGAGCAGATTCACAACTTTTAGTAACCCCGATTTCAGTCCAACATTCCACGTAGAATATATGGTCACATGTAGCATACATCCCATCCTCACCACTTCCAGAATAATAACACATCATTATTAGAATTTCCAATGAAAAGGCCGTCCCAGGTCAGATCCATTGTTTGTGGGTCCGACCCATAATGTGCGTGACGCGTATTGTTTTTGCACAGTTACACTTTATGCAAGAACTAGCCTTGCCCTGGCTCTCTCACCAAATGGAAGAGGCTCGAATGAAGTTTGAAGGTTGAATAAATTAAACGTAGGATGATAGAGCAATAGTTTTTGATGGCTTTCAGGTAACGTGTTCAATGGTCAATGTGGCACCGTCTCGTTTCTTTGCTCTGTGTGCTTTAGAGCTTGTCTTCATCCTGTGTGTATGTATATGTTTCCAGAATCCAACACATTTTAGTGCATGTGGAACTTCCTTTTATTGAAAGCTACTCCTAATTATTATTATTAGGAATAATTATATTCCTAATATGTTGTCTGCTGTTGGTGTCTTCTGTATATCCGACTGTCTTTCATTTGGATACACGGCCTCCTATTATGTTGCGATGGTCTTTGTCTGGTTGTTTTTGTTACCAGTTAATATATTGCTTTTCACTGCAGGAATTAGTGTCTGTTAAAACCTATAAATCCAGGTCAGGGGCCTAAATGGTAATCTCCCCTTAGGGGGCAGCACCATGCTGAGTCCTGTGGCTGGAATGTGCCTGGGGCCCGTAGTATATCTCTGTATCAGGGGCAGACAGATGTGCAGAAGATTCACAGTGCGACTCATAACATTCCAATAGGTATACGCTGTTCTGCATTCTTAATTGGGAAATAGTTCTAGTGATCAGATACCGTCTTAGGGAATCAGAGAGAGTTCAAGAAGACTGGTGTTAATATTGCCCCATAACATCAGCTGGCAGCACTTTTCTCTATAATGGAATGGGGTGGGTGGAATCCTAAAACCTTTGACTTTTTTTATTTGCTTTTAATGATCTTACTTCCAAATAATTTTATAAATAGGTTTCCATAAGGCAGGGAAGGGCAGTGATAAAATGCAGCCTCTGGGTTAATTATAGAAGGGGGTATTTAGAGATGAAGAAAGCCCTGCTGTACTAGTGAGCTTACAATCTATGAGGGTTTGAGGAAGGCAGATTTGTCATCAGGCAATGTGCTCTAACCTGCTTATCGGTTGTATAGCATGGTAATGGGAACAGCACAGATGGCATGGTTGGGTAATATGCTTTATGTAGGGCTGATATAACGGTAGTAAGAATAGTGACGTTAATGGGAATGGAATCTTCGTTCTTTGTTTTGTAGGTTTTATAATCGTAGAGAAGGAGGTGTAGATGGTAAACATTTATTACTGTTTGAAGAGGATATTGGGTGAGATTGTGAGTGGGGGGTAGTGGCTGTGAATGGGGTGGAATGCCCTTTGTCAGGGAGATTTGATGGTAGTAACAGTGGAGTACAGGGTATCATTTCTCTGCACAGGACGGTCTTTTGAAAAGGGGCTTATTTTGAGATTCTTTTGGATTGTTTCAGGAATCCATAGCAGCAGAACCAGCAGGGGTCTTCCAGTGTTTGGAGCAGGGGGCTCCAATGCTGGCAACAATCCTTTATGGCTATATTGTCCGAGGATACTGCAGAGTTATATTTCTATTACACCCCTTGTTACTTTGCATCTCATGGACTTTTTTGGTTTTGGGAGCTTAATTAAAGTGAGGAATTCTTGTTTTTTGGTTGTTTTTTTTTATAAATCTGTTTGATTTGCACTTAGTCAAGGGTGTTTTTTTTTGTTTTTTTATGTTTTTGCAAGCAGCCCCCCCACAGAGTAATTAATAGCTAAGTGCTACAGGGGATCCTTTGGATTCTAAGATTCTGGACCAGGCTCCTAGGACCTACTCTATAACTTGGTCTATCTATCCCTGTTTCGTTACATATCGTAGAATACGCTAATCACTGTGATGTTTTCTGCAAAATGTCTTGACGAGCTGTAAATAAAGGCTAATATGAATTTTAAAAGATGAGAGGCAGATTTTGCATTGTTAAAATAATTAATATCAATTAACAAACCATGTGTTTTTAGCTAACGAGGTGATGGAGGATAAATCTAGCTGTGAGTTTTGTGGGGTTTTTTGTATCAGTCATGCAGTTAGTTATCTGAATTATGTTTGTTTTTATAATGTATTTATTATAAACTCTCACTCTTTATTTTGTCCTATTTGCGTTGCTGTGTTAATAGTGTTGTTGTTGTTGTTGTTTTCTCACAGGATGGAATTGCGAGCTTTTTGTGTCATTGTGTTGGTTGCCTTCCTTGCTGTGAGTTCCCAGGCAGCCAAAACCAAGAAAGGTGATATACTTCCCCCTAATTTGTGTGTGCTCCATGCCTCTCTCTTTGTCCTTCCTTTTGCTGTTGTGATTACCTGTCGGCCTCATTCTCTGACTCCCACATTTGCAGTTTTATTCACCGTTCTTTTTTCTTCTCTCATTTGTCTGTCCTATCCATTGCATATTACCTGGATTTTTTTTTTTATTAGTAGTATGTTGATGAGAATTAAAAAAAAAAAATGGCAAATCCAAATGTGGCAGAATATACAGGTCAATTGTCAATTCTCTCCCATTGCTCCCATTCTCCTGTCTGCTTTGGTCACTGGTTCTCTTTCTGTCCAAAACTTCCAGTTTGTCTGTTCTCTATCTCTTCATACGCTTTTGATGTCATGTCTGTCTTGTCTGCTGCAGTGTTTCCTCTGACCCACCAATTTCACCATGTCCCATCCCCGCCCTGTTGTATGCCTCATCTTTCATTATCGCAAGTCCGATGTCCACTCCCCACCACTGAATTTGATGACCCATTTGTATTTTATTCACTCACCATGTCCTTCCTTGCAACAGATAAGGGCAAGAAGGCTGCATCGGACTGCGCAGAGTGGAAGTGGGGAAGTTGTGTCCCTAATAACAAAGACTGCGGCATTGGAACTCGGGATGGGACATGCAAAGAGGAGACTCGTAAACTTAAGTGCAAGATTCCATGCAACTGGAAGAAAGCATTTGGAGGTAAATATGTGCAGTCTGCAGTTTAAAAAATAAAAATAACTCAATACATATATTTGGGGGAACAGAATGACAAATTGATTTTACAGTGCTAGAATCGGATAATAGGCTGTTCTAAGACTACAATTTGAATCTTGATGGCAGAAGAGAGATAATGGCCAGAAAGGAATTGAGAGGAGAGCTAGTGTTGCCAATCCATCTAGTGTAATAATGACGATCGGTCTGACTACAAAGTACAACAATGGAGCAATGTTCCAAAAGGGACCAAGACAGAGTTCCACTTTTAGATCTTTACTACCGAATTGCTCCTTGCTGTAACCATCAGAGTTTTCAAGTGAACTCCATTTACAAATAACCTTGGTAATTAACAAAGGTAAAGAGTTACTTCAACCCCATGACCATGTCTGTTTTTAGAAGTGGTTCTAGTGGTAGGAATCTGTGTGTGCAGCTTGTCTGCATGAAGCTCTATGAGAAGTATTGATTGAACCATGGAGGGGGAAGGAGTGACATCAGACAGTTGTGGAAACCAGTGACCACGAGGTGAGCTTCACCTGGTGCTGGACCAGTGAGCCAAGCTTCACCTGGTGCTGGACCGGCAAGGAGAGCTTCACCTGGAGCTGTATCTGTGAGGCGAGCTTCACCCGGAGCTGGACCGCCGAGTCGATCTTTACCTGGAGCTGGACGGCCGAGTCAATCTTTACCCGGAGCTGGACCGCCGAGGCGAGCTTTACCCGGAGCTGGACCGCCGAGGCGAGCTTCACCCGGCGCTGGACCGCCGAGGCGAGCTTCACCCGGCGCTGGACCGCTGAGTCAAGCTTCACCCGGTGCTGGACCGTCGAGTCGAGCTTCACCCGGCGCTGGACTGCCAAGTCGAGCTTCATTCGGCGCTGGACAGTCGACTCGAGATGCACCTGGCGCTTGACCGCCGCGACGAGCTTTGTTGTGCTTCACCTGGCACTTGACCAGCGCGACAAGCTTAGTTGTGCTTCACCTAGGGCTGGACCTGCAAGTCGAGCTTCACCTGGGGCTGGACCTGCAAGTCGAGCTTCACCTGGGGCTGGACCTGCAAGTCGAGCTTCACCTGGCACTGGATTGAAAAGGAGAGCTTCACCTGGGGCTGGAGCGGCGAGTCGAGCTTCACCTGGGGCTGGAGCGGCGAGTCGAGATTCACCTGGGACTGGAGCAGGGAGTCGAGCTTCACCTGGCACTGGACCACCGAGTCGAGCTTCACCTGGCGCTGGACCGGCGAGTCGAGCTTCGCCCGGCGCTGTGTTGCTGAGGAGAGTTTTACCCGACGCTGGACTGACGAGGCGAGCTTCACCTGGAGCTGGACCAGCGAGTCGAGCTTCACCCGGCCCTGGACCGTCGAGTCGAGCTTCACCTGGCACTGGACCACCGAGTCGAGCTTCACCTGGCGCTGGACCGGCGAGTCGAGCTTCGCCCGGCGCTGTATTGCTGAGGAGAGTTTTACCCGACGCTGGACCAACGAGGCGAGCTTCACCTGGAGCTGGACCGGCGAGTCGAGCTTCACCTGGCGCTGGACCAGCGAGTCGAGCTTCGCCCGGCGCTGTATTGCTGAGGAGAGTTTCACCCGACGCTGGACCGCCGAGGCGAGCTTCACCTGGCACTGGCGAGCTTTATATGCCGCTGGATACTCCTTCTATTACAGGGATTTTATTGTTTTAATTAAATGCAGTGAGCAAGTGGGACATTATAACTATATGCCTTCTGGGTTCTTCCACATAGAGCTTTGTCATTTTATGTATTCACACATATTGCTTATGAAAACATGGTTCAAACAAACATGTTCTTAATCTTGAAGGTTTTTATGGTATTCTCACATATATAAAGGCAGACAATATTACTGCCCTCCTGACAAACACACAGGTGCTGAACGTAAGATGTATTGATATCGAGCCAGAGTAGCCCAGTCAGGCTTTCTACCGCCCGGTGGAAGAGTAGATTTTCTAACCCTCTGTTATTCTGTGTTATTCCACAGCTGACTGCAAGTACAAGTTTGAGAGCTGGGGAGAATGCAACACCGAAACTGGGGTGAAAATCCGGACTGGAATCCTGAAGAAGGCTATGTACAACGCTGAATGCCAGCAAACCGTGGAGGCCAGCAAGCCCTGTGCATCTAAAACAAAGTCTAAATCCAAAGGTGAGAACCTAATGTTGGTATTCCTTTACACAAGTACATAGAATATACAGGTACATACACGTATGTAGGGAATATTGCACCCTTTTATATAGGTGTATATGTACACGTACATAGGGCTAGTGTGTCCACGTGTAGGTATATTCAGATACATAGGGCTAGTGTGTCCATGTGTAGGTATATACAGATACATAGGGCTAGTGTGTCCATGTGTAGATATATACAGATACATAGGGATAGTGTGTCCATGTGTAGGTATATAAAGATACATAGGGCTAGTGTGTCCATGTGTAGGTATATAAAGATACATAGGGCTAGTGTGTCCACGTGTAGGTATATTCAGATACATAGGGATAGTTTGTCCATGTGTAGGTATATACAGATACATAGGGCTAGTATGTCGATGTGTAGGTATATACAGGAATATGAACGGACTTTCTCCTTGTAAAGAGGAATGTGACATTACTATGTTGAGGCAGCGTGTCCTCGTATAGGTGTATACCAGTTGATGTATACAGACATGTTGAGATATATTGTCATTCACACCACTTTAATGAACTCAAAGTTATTTAATATCCAGAGAGCTGCTTCCTATGAACTCGTGGGGTTTTCGATTTATTCCAGTTAGATAAAACCAGCCCGCAGCCCCAACCAGTGATAGAAAATAAGAATCCCTGGTGTGAAGTGTATCTACGAGGGTTTTGCTGACCTTATGTAGAGCTATATGGTCTTCCTTCCCAGTGAATATTAAAAGGGGTATTCACAAATGTTCGAATTGTCAGAAAGTCAAAGTAAATTTAGCTAAACTGAAAACATTGTTGGTATTTTTTTTTATTTTGGCCTATAATGAGAAGTTCAATTTGAATTCAAAATTCTCTCTTGATAGGAAGACTCTGGTTACGATTGGGATGAAGTTATGATGCCAGGAGGTCCCCAGCACTAGCATACCGTTAGGGATTGAACCATTCATGAAGTGCAGTATCTAGCACTCAGTCCTTCCACTGCTCATATTATTGAAAGAGGAAACCTCGGACAGGGACGACGCTGATTGACTTAGTCTTAGAATGTCACCACCCCTGTACAAGGCTCCCCTTCTTCAAGAATTTGAACAGCCCTAGGACAGGGGGCAGATTGATCGCATGCTGGATATTGGAATATGGGGTTAATCGTTTCCTGAATGGTTCAACCTCTAAAGCTAAGCCGGCATCAGGGACTTCATGGAGATTGTTATTATGGTGCCCAGAGTGTTCATTTAATGAATAACTCTTGTAAACATGATAGAAGATCACTCTCAGATTACCAAACATATAGCGATAGGAAATCAAGACACAAGTAAAACTCTTTATTTTGTAATTCCGTGACAAAGTGACAAACTTTTGGTGACCGCAAAAGAGGTCTGTTTTGTAGGGTCAGCCAAAAAGGAGCCATTTAATAGCTCTCTCATGGCAATTCAATTTTAGTTCCATGGAGCTATATCGAAGAAGTGCTAATAATTCTGTTCATCTTTTCAGGCAAGAAGGGTAAAGGGAAGGAGTAAAAGGTGACTCTGACGCCCCCTGGAAGATGTCATGAGACCTGCACTCTCCCTGCAAGAGTGATGGAATCACTGTCTCCCCTTTACAACCTCTCCAATGTGCACTCTCGCCTGCCCTGTTTCTCTCATCTCCTCCCAATTCCTGATCCTCCTGAAACTTATATTTTTAATCACTAATGATTTCTATTGTTTTTTTATGTTTTTGTTGTTTGTTTATTTTTTGAGAAAAATAAAAGGAATCTTAGAAAAAAAGCAAGTGCCCCCCCCCCCACTTTTGATCCAGCTTAAAAAAAAAAACTGTGCTGCCCTAAACCTTTTATAACTTCAGCCTACTGCTGTTTACAGGTACTTCCCAGTCTGTCTATCCGCTTTGTATCATGTATGCTCATCCCTTTAATAGCTGCTGTCCGCCTTATCTCTCTTCACCCCCACAACATGTAAAAACGTCATACTTAATGTGGCTTCTCGTTTCTCTACTCTTAGAAAGATTCCTTTTTGGGTTTGCATTTTTTTTAAAATAAATGTACAGTTTTGAATTTGTAGTGTAGTGTTTGCTTTTTTTGTCTTTCTGAACTATACTGATTACGATTCCATGTATCTCCAACTTTCAAGTAAAATGTCTTCTCTGGTTTTACTCCAATATTTATTCTAACAAAAAAAAAATGCAATTCTTCTTTCCATTTCAGTTGAGTACCCGAACAAAACCAAAAAGTCCAGTGAGTACTGCACACAAGTTACCAGCACAAAAGTACGTTGGAGCCCCTTAGAGGGTGGTCTGCCATCCACCAAAAATAGTATAAACGTTGTCCACTGCGGTCACAATGTAGGGTGAAGGTAGAGGTAGAAGTTCAAAGGACAAAAAGATACAAATGTATACCTCTACATTCACCCTACACTGTGACGACAGTGGACTTCAACGTTTATACCTGAACAAAACTGTTTTAGGAGATACAAATTTTTGTCTATTTTCCATACATCCCCCTACAGTTTATTGCACGAGCAGTTACCCATTACTCTCCAAATTAACTCCATCCCCCCCAGTTCAAGGTGGGTGGCATGCCTTGATGAGATCACACCCCATTATGTCCAGCCTTGTTCATCTCAAATATTGGTTGTAAGCTTTAGGGTATCTCTAGGAGATCAGAGGGATTCTTAGGGAGCCAAGGGGATGCAGCACATGTTGTATTGTGGGCCCTTCGTAGTCTTCTTTATGGATGAAAAACCCAGAGTTATTCTAGAGAGATTGAGTTGTTCCCTGATTTGATTGTGAAAATCTGGTCATTGTAACCCAGTCGTGTACCATCTCTCACAAAACGTCACACTTGTACAAGAGATTTCTTTATTTTAGTCAGGTTTCATTGTAGGGATAACATAACCTGCAGCAAAAAGAAGACTGATCACATAGGACACCTGACCACATTCATTGGGGGAGATTTATCAAGGTGTTCTCTGGATTGCTGGTTCCGCTGGGTTGCGTAGGGATTACCACATTTTTGCAGAACACTTTGGTAAATCTCCACCTTTGAGGTCCTTTCTGGCAGCAATGGATATTTAGTGCCGGTCTGATGCACTGTGATGTCATACCACACTATGACAAAGGCAAAGCCGGTCATTCATTCTGCTGTCACACTACGTCATCACACTAGAAGAGAGGAATATGCATTATGATGTCATACCACTTCCCAACAAAAATAAGGCTGATCCTGCTCCTTGACATCATGTCACACCAGGACAACAACAAAAAAGCTTGCCCTGCCTCATCAAGACATCATAAAGTCAAAGTCTGCCTTTTACTCTTTATGACATTCAATGATGACCTCATGATCAAGTAAAGCAGGTTGGGCTCTCTAGTTCATTTCACACCACAGTGACATAATTCTATCGATAATCTTGGACTCTCGTCAATGGCATTGTGGTGACATCATTGAGCAGGGCCCTCCACCTCTCTGTTCTTGTACGTCCAGTTGTCTGGTTGCAAATACATGTCTGTTAGTCTACCCATTGTACAGCGCTACGGAATCTGAAGGCGCTATATAAATAATAAAATAATAATCATCACATAGTTAAGAATGGTGTAATAATGACTTTAGAATAAAGGCCATCCTTGCTCTCTATCGTGGTCCAACATGATAAAAGGGGGATTGGATTAACACTCTGATAAATATATCTTCAAAGTTCTCAACTAGAGGTGAATTGATTCCTTTGCTGCCAGAAAAGACTCCTTTGTTTGTCTGTGCAAATTCCTTCATAGTTCAAGCAGAAACAAGACCTGTAGCTGGGATCATGCAGGAATAATTACAAAGATAATCAAAGTTTAAGGACTTTATAAAAAAAAACCTGTCAGATTCATTGCTACTTTACCGTTTCAGTATCGCACCTTCTTAGCCACTCCAGAAGGTTCATGTTCTTACTCACACTCTTTTTTTGTCAAAATATATATATAATGCCATTACATTCACTGTTAACTTGGACCCTCTGCCAGTGGATATGGAGAACGACCACATTTTAACCTGCACACTTTTAGTGAAAGCTACACCGCATTTGTGGACAACGTGAGGTATAACTAAATATCCTACATCCTCTGATCATTATTAATGATCTCAATGTATTTTTCCAGATAACTTGTTTAGTGCCCAATGGATTATTGGAATATTTAACCAACATAACCTTTAAAGAGACAGTAATTCTACAATTGAATGCAAAATTTATGTCATTATTAATTAAGCATGCATACATGATTAGATAGAATCTGTTTTTATTGCATTTTGCATCTGCAACTATTAATTTAGTATTTGTTACTTTATTGGCTAGTACCCTGATTTCAATTGTATCTGTATTCTCATGGGCTACAAAAGCACCAGTGAGCCAATCAGACTACTGTATCTGATTTTGAATGATTTACCAGACGTAAATAAAAGAACCCCCCCCCATCCCCCTCCCAAGAATTTAGTCAAATTCAAATGTTATCTATGCATTACTGTCTCTATAAATGGTACTTAGGGCTCAAATTTCCTAAAAAAAAATAGAGATTTTTAAAATGTACAGTAACACTTCTTGCAGAGTAACACACCAGCCCTCATCAACTAAGACTGTGAGTTCTCCATATCGACCAATGCACTCAGTATGCAATTCTCGCTTAATAACACAATTCTAGCTTAATGAGAGGCTGCAGAATGTAAATTTTAAGAACTGCAATCAGGAAGATGTTAAAGTAATACAGCAGAGGGGTAATGCCTTTGGGTCGTAACGATTTAGGAAGGGTCGGGTTATTTGTTCAAACATGGTTCCAGAGATAATGTAGGACAAATCCACTGCATGGCCACAGCACATAAAGCATTATGTAAACACAGTCAATGCAGCAGGAGAGTCAATAACTGGGCAATATCCTGATGGCATTTCAATCAATGGTGCCCTGAACCCAAAGATACCTCCTCTATGGGTCTGTGGATCATGGATTCATTTTGTCTGGCCATGCATGATTTCCTAGATTGCAGTTCTACAGATTCCTTGACTCATCAGATGTGGCCTATTCAGGGAGGGCATTTGGTACTTTAAAACATATGATGCATCCCTTTAATTTTCTTGGAAGTCCAATAGGTTTCTGTATTTTTTTATTTTTTTTCTTACTTTAATGAACAACATCCTTTGGATTAATTACAAAACTTCTTACAGTCAAACTTGGTCCCATTCTGAATACTAGTGCAAAATGCCTTAAAGTTTTATCTCCAACATCCTTAATCTTGCTGAGAATTATCAATCAACACTGCAACTTGGTAACACCATCTCCCGAAGGCAGAGAGTTCCTCAGGATTTTCTTATCCAACTTCTAAAATTCCTTGAAATTCTCCCTCCACATTTCCTCTGATACAATGCAGTCATAGTTGTCCTATATCAAAATATTTTTTGTGGCCTATCTGGCCATTCTTATATTCCTATACTGACACATAAGGAGATGTTTAAATGTCTTTTTGAAGGTGGCATTACACAACGCATAGCATGCTGGGTTTATTGTGCTGTTGACATAACAAAGCCAATAACCTATAGACCAAACAGTTTCAGGGATGCAAGTCTCACAAAATGTGTTGATTAGGACCATAACATTGTAAGGTGTCCAGGTGAGGATAAAAGCCAGTAAGATAGCAAAAATGGTCCGGGTAACTTTCTTCTCCCTGGCTGCCATCTGCCTCTTTTTCCTAACCTGGTTACGGGCAATGCTAGCAAACTTTCTTGCCACATTAGCTGGACGAGTGTTGGGAAGAGATGGATCCCGGGGCAAAGGGATGGAACATTCTGGCACTATCTCGATAGCGGTTACACACTCGTTGCCGGTCTGCTTTGTGACAATCTTGATCTTAGACCACTTAGAAGCAGCATTGACTCTTGGATGAAGTGTTGGCATACTTTGGGTGGGAGCCAAAACAATACCCGAAGAAGGATCATGCAATGGCAGTTTCTCCTCTGGGTTCTGGGTTATGCTGGCAGTACTGGAGTCATTCGAGGTTTCTTTTTCTTCTACTGACTGAAGGTTTGTCAAGGACTTTTCAATCTTCCCATTCCTAACACCGTTCTCCTCTTCTCCTTTCACTTCAGTGATGTCTGGTTTTGGATTTGTTTTTGCCTGCTTAATTAAAGGGCTCTTCATAGAACTGACTGGTTTGGCTTTCTTCTCTGGGCGTGTCTCTGGACAGTGCCTGCGTACTCTACTCCTGCTGGCCAGGGAAATGTGGATGTAGAGGATCGTCATAATGACCACTGGAAGATAGAAGGCAGCAATAGCTGTGCCAAAAGTGACTGCTGGATAGGAGAGAAATTGGATGTAGCATTCTCTATCTGGTACTGTCCTTTCTCCCACAATGAACTGCCAAAACAGGATGGCAGGGGCCCAGAGCGCAAATGACAGGAGCCAGGCGGCTGCAATCATTAGCCCTGCCATCTTGGTGGTTCTTCGAGCCGGGTAGGTCAATGGTTTGGTTACACAGAAGTACCGATCAAAGCTAATGATGAGTAAGTTCATTACTGAGGCATTGCTGACCACATAATCTAGAGCCAGCCAAAGGTCACACACAACAGGTCCCAAGGGCCAGAAGCCCTTTATGATGTATACTGTGTAGAGATTCATTGAGAAGACTCCAATGATTAGGTCAGCACATGCAAGGCTGAAGAGAAAGTAGTTGTTGACTGTCTGTAGTTGCCGGTTGACCTTAATTGAGAGCATGACCAAGATGTTTCCTACAACAGTAACCAAGCTAAGAGAGCCAGTCACAGTGGCAATGAAAATCATCTCCATTGTTTTGTACTTTCCTACGGTCATCGCTTTGTCTCTGGTAGATTGGTTGCCAACACTTGTCAAGTTGTCCCAAGTGTCATTCTCCATCTTGGCCAGCCAGTGAGGGCTCGAAAGGTTGTATGGCAAGTCTGAGGTGAGAGAATGGGAGAACATGAAATCAGATTAGGCAGATTACAGAAGCCACATACTTTTCAAAATGTTATGGGAACAGGCTGACTGATTTAGACATGCATACACTTTTTAGACAAGACAGGGATGTGCAATACTACAAAGTTTTATACACACACACACAAAAAAAATAAATAACATAGTTGTATCTTAAGACCAAAAAGTTTGTGTGTGATGTGAGAAATGTATCATTAACGTACGGGGGCAGTGAGACGGGCATTTGGTAACTGTGGTTGAAACAAAGACATTTGGATGAGCTGTCTGGCATTTTAAGTTAATTCAAAATGAATTTAGACTTTTAGGCAACAATTGGCAAAATTAAAATATAGCGGTTTTGGAACATTTTCTAGAATGGCCTAGAATTGTAAAATCACTTTCAGGTGGTTTTAAAGTTAGAATTGTCAGGAATGTAAACTGAACTCATCGTGAAATTTACATTTAATGCCAAAATAACTGAGCGAAAAACATAGCTGACAAAGAATTTGTCCAGAATTTATGACCTTAATGGACCACTATAGGCACCCAGACCACTTCAGCTTAATGAAGTGGTCTGAGTGCCAGGTCCCCCTAGTTTTAACCCTACAGCTTCACACATTTCAGAGAGCCCGGCGCTGGATTATGGTAAGTGGCTGAAGGGGTTTTAACCCATTCAACCAAGCGGGAGGGGGGCCACGAGGGAGGAGGGGACCTAACAACCCTATAGTGCCAGGAAAACAGGTTTGTTTTCCTGGCACTATAATGCTCCTTTAAATGTAAAATTCTATTTAAATTAATTTTGAATTCTTGACAAGTTATAATTTTAATGTATGCATTATAATAGCTGGTTTTTTTTTGTTTTTTTTTACTAAACTCAAGTTTTTAGGACATTTGTATTTCTGTAAGGGTGCCAACAATCATGAGTTTGGGTATCGGATATTGACATTGATATATAAGGTTGCTTTGTAGGGGCAGACTACCTCACATCCATGTACATTTAACCTGTTCAGTGCTTGGCAATCCTCATGAGGATAGTAATAGCCTCTCTCAATCATCTTATCAATGGTCCCAGTCAGTGCCTTTAACCCCTCAAGGACCAAACTTCTGGAATAAAAGGGAATCATGACATGTCACACATGTCATGTGTCCTTAAGGGGTTAAATGCCTTTACACCCTAAATAAATAAAAGCTGTAAATTCATGTACAATACAAACATAAATGCCTTTCACACTCTGAATCGCAGTGGACTAAAACATAAATTGTAAAATATTTTTTAAATTGACAAAACTGTGACTAATTGGATACAAGATATTTTTGCATGAAATATGCCTTTTTTAAAAAAAAATCTTTATTTATGTATATTCATGAAAGTACACATAAAAATGACAGATTTATACGCGTGTGAACCTCTTAGAGTGCATAAGGCAAAAAAATAGCATTTTGTACAGTTTTGTCTTTTTAAAAAAAAAAAAAAAAGAATAAAACCGTGCAAGTGGAACACAGACAAACATATAGATCATGTCATAGTGTAACTCAAATCATGTAACTAAATAAGTATTGTGTATTGACAATACTCTTCCGTCATAATGCTTGTTGTTAGAGGTGATTCCATGGACCGGGTTTTCACCAAATAAAAAACTCAATTAACACAACAAAAACATTACATATCAATCTAAGGTGTGCCGGGGATGGGTGGGCAACCCATGGATGGTTATTAGTTAATGCACTTCTTCCCAAAATCCATTCACTCACCAGCATTTCCATGAAGGGCGCTCTGCTAAGTTTTTAAGTCATTGTAATTCAGTGTTTAGTGAATGAAGCCCTTTAGAATTTCATAAGTCTTATACCCTACTTGGGGTTGGCAGAGGCATGTGCTAGGTATGTACGTATAATTGCCCTCATTGTCCCCTGTTTTGGACTTAAAGGACATATTTGTAGGAGTTTGGGTTAGATTGTTATGTTTTCAAAGAAAATAAAAATCTTGACTTTCTGTGTATATGTCTAGTTATCAGAGCAAACATTTGTATGTTGTACTTCAGTTTTAAATGAGTAGTTTTAAGTAGCATTAAGACGATAATTGTCTCTGGCTGCACACTCTTATACAACGTGCGGAGTTGTTGTTCTCTTGCAATTACAACAAACTCCAAGAACTCAAGTACATTTTGACCTCAATGGTCTAAACCTTGAGATACATGGATAGAGGAGACAGCATCTCCCGTATAAAGTTTGCACAATAAAAAACATGCTTTCATTTCAGAGGCCGGTCTTTGAAATATTTTAAACTAAAGACGAGAAAGAGTGGGCAAAACCCATGGACTTAAAACGGTTGCCAGAGTTAAAGTTGGTTGCAAAGTTGAATTACACCACCTCACCAGCAGATGTCACTCTCACTTCAGTTATATCCCAAGTACCACGAATGCACCATTCGGAATGATGGGTCTTCTAAATCTACAGGATGCTTATGCCAATGTTATTCTATTTTAGGGGATTTGACAGCCAGATCTGACTCCATCATCCGACAGCCGACGCAGACACATTTTCAAACATATGCAATTACTTGTATACCACATGCACTTATGTTGCTGAATGGCCGAATATGCCGACACTCTATCAAGAACGTTAAAAATAATTTAAAGAGGTTATAGAGTGTAGAGAAAATTATACAGAGAAGAGGAGAAACCAATGTTACTGCTTGTCCTCCTTATTCACAATGTGTGCCCTGTGTCTGTGCCTGGTCTGAATTGGATAGTGATGTCATTCGGTTAAATCCTCATATGCATTTTAGGAGAAAATGGAACATACAAAGAAAAAAAAGGTTCACATAAGTTAGAGAGGATTTATTGAATGGCGGTAATTCCTTATAAGTGACAGTTCCGCTGTTTAGGTTTAAGGTAAAACACGGATTGGTGTTAAAACTACTTTTTGCTTTGGTTCAGGGTAATAAATCAAGTGATACAGGTGTCTAGAAAGACAGGTTTAGTAAGTAAAGTGTAAATTGTTGGGAATTTTTAAATTAAATTTCAAATTAAGTGGAAAAATGATCCATGTCAACTAGATTTCCATAGAAACAATCTCATCAAAACTTTATCCAAAACTAGGTGCCCTGTACAGAAACAAGTCCTGCCTAAGCCCTACAGTAAAGGAAAAGGTTGTACAGCAAATGCTGATGCCAATCATTGATTATGGGGATGCAGTATATGCATCTGCATCGCAATCCCACCTTAATAAACTTACTATGTTATATAATTAATGCTTTGTGCTACAATGTAATTACATGACCCACCATTGTGACATGCTAAAAGAGCTAAACTGGCTGTCGCTGGAATCCAGACGCACCCTTCAGCTTTCCCTACATCTTGTGTTTAAGAGTTTTCCCACCCTACCTGAGTAGAATGCTCTCCCCGGCTGTTCCCACCTTCTATAACCTCTGATCCAGTACCAGCACTTTATTTAGTCTACCTCAATACAAAAAGAAAGCGGCCCGATCCTCCTTTTCCTACAGAGCACCGCAATTGTGGAACGACCTCCCGCACACTTGCAAATCTTCCCCAGGCCTAAAATCCTTTAAGAGTTTTCTCTCTACATCCCTCAAAACAGAATGCACCTGTCGTGGTTTACTATGTCTTACCTGTTCTATGTTACATTTTGTATAATTTGTGAAATAATATTTTTGTATTTTATTGCATCCTATTGTATCAATGCAATGTTTTGTGGACTTGAAAACGAGAGAAATCTCAATGTGTCCATGTATCATGGTAAAATATTTTATAAATAAATAAATGTCCACCTTGGCTATAATAATAACTTGAATTCACTTTGAATTTCTGACAATGCAAACGTTAGTGAATATCTCTGTTGGCCTTTGTTTGTGTTGTTAAATTTGATTGCGTTGTTACTGTTAAACGTTCCTTTTATGGGTGGGACATGCTCTTGGAGATGTTTCCTCATGCCATCAAACTTCTTTTGTTTGTTTTCGGCTGCGTACATTGCAATGAATCCATAGCATCAACCTACATCCGTCTGCTTCTCATCTTAACCATAAATATATATGGTACTAATAACATGCTGTCTTCTGAAAATCACAGCTTTTCTGGTGGAACCAGGACTGAACACACTGATTACTATACGCTGGTGATCTCATGCATAGTTTTCAAACAATGTTAGTATGTAGTCGCTGCTCAATGGGAGTCATAGACAAACTGCAGCTGCATTGTCTGCACTGACAGACAGCCCAACAATTCTATTGCTACTCTTCACTGTTTGCATTGCAAGTACACATTTTGTGATATTTTGCTCAGAGGGGGGTCCTGGAAGACAATTAGAAAGTTCCATGGCGTAATTGTGTACCTGTTGTTGCCGAGAACAAAATACATGACTAAGCAGGGTCCACAGCTGGGAACACCTTTGACAGTTTAGCTCATACCACCATAGGGAAGATGATGGAAGGTGGAGGATGAGGTGTTATTTTGGCATTTCCCATAATTTATATCAAAAAATTATTTGGTGTAAAGAGTTAGCATTTAATGGACACTGGCAGCACAAACAGGTCCTTCGTCAGTGACAAGACATGAGGGAGTGGATTAAAAGATTTGTTTTGCACTTTCTGCAATTCTCCTGCCTACCTGTCCCGGCAGAGGCGAGGGAATCGGAAACAACAATTCTGGAAAAGTTTCTTTAATTTCTCATCATTTTTAGGGATTACTTAAACTCACAAAGGAGGTAGCAAAATGTCTTCCTGAACACTGTTAAAGGCATGTTGTAGCCAGGTCTGGCTCTTTCGCAGTGTATGTCTGTGTTTGGCAGTGTGAGTGGCAGTGTGTATATCTGTATGGCATTGTGTGTGTTATGGTGTGTGAGTGGCAGTATGCATGAGAGTGTGTGTCACACTTTATGTTTGTATGTGTGTACAGAGTCTGGCACTGTGTATGTGTGTGTGGGAATTTCTCTGTGAATGCATGTGTCTGTTTGGTAACTGGGAGGTGTATCTGCATGTGTCTAGGAGAGTGTTCGCATTTGTGCTTATGTCTGGGAATGTGTGTATATCTGTGAGTATGTATGTGTGTGCAGTGTCTGGCATTGTGTGTGTTGGAGTTTCTCTGTGAATGCATGTCTCTGTTTGGTAACTGGGAGGTGTATCTGCATGTGTCTGGGAGAGTGTTCATGTGTGTGCCTATGTCTGGCAATGTGTGTATATCTGTGAGTATGTATGTGTGTGCAGTGTCTGGCACTGTGTATGTTTGTGTTGAAGTTTCTCTGTGAATGCATGTCTCTGTTAGGTAACTGGGAGGTGTATCTACATGTGTCTGGGAGAGTGTTCGCGTGTGTGCCTATGTCTGGGAATGTGTGTATATCTGTATGTATGTGTGTGCAGTGTCTGGCACTGTGTATATGTGTGTGTGTGTGTGTGTGTGTGTGTTGGAGTTTCTCTGTGAATGCATGTCTCTGTTTAGTAACTGGGAGGTGTATCTGCATGTGTCTGGGAGAGTGTTCGCGTGTGTGCCTATGTCTGGGAATGTGTGTATATCTATATGTATGTGTGTGTGTGCAGTGTCTGGCACTGTTTGTGTGTGTGTGTTGGAGTTTCTTTGTGAATGCATGTCTCTGTTAGGTAACTGGGAGGTGTATCTGCAGGTGTCTGGGAGAGTGTTGGCGTGTATGCTTATGTCTGGGAATGTGTGTATATCTGTATGTATGTGTGTACAGAGTCTGGCACTGTGTATGTGTGTGTGGGAATTTCTCTGTGAATGCATGTCTCTGTTTAGTAACTGGGAGGTGTATCTGCATGTGTCTGGGAGAGTGTTTGCGTGTGTGCTTATGTCTGGGAATGTGTGCATATCTGTGAGTATGTATGTGTGTGCAGTGTCTGGCACTGTGTGTGTGTGTGTTGGAGTTTCTCTGTGAATGCATGTCTCTGTTAGGTAACTGGGAGGTGTATCTGCATGTGTCTGGGAGAGTGTTCGCGTGTGTGCCTATGTCTGGGAATGTGTGTATTTCTGTATGTATGTGTGTGCAGTGTCTGGCACTGTTTGTGTGTGTGTGTGTTGGAGTTTCTTTGTGAATGCATGTCTCTGTTAGGTAACTGGGAGGTGTATCTGCAGGTGTCTGGGAGAGTGTTCGCGTGTGTGCCTATGTCTGGGAATGTGTGTATATCTGTATGTATGTGTGTGCAGTGTCTGGCACTGTGTATATGTGTGTGTGTGTGTGTGTGTTGGAGTTTCTCTGTGAATGCATGTCTCTGTTTAGTAACTGGGAGGTGTATCTGCATGTGTCTGGGAGAGTGTTCGCATTTGTGCTTATGTCTGGGAATGTGTGTATATCTGTGAGTATGTATGTGTGTGCAGTGTCTGGCACTGTATGTGTGTGTGTGTGTTGGAGTTTCTCTGTGAATGCATGTCTCTGTTTAGTAACTGGGAGGTGTATCTGCATGTGTCTGGGAGAGTGTTCGCGTGTGTGCCTATGTCTGGGAATGTGTGTATATCTGTATGTATGTGTGTGCAGTGTCTGGCACTGTGTATATGTGTGTGTGTGTGTTGGAGTTTCTCTGTGAATGCATGTCTCTGTTTAGTAACTGGGAGGTGTATCTGCATGTGTCTGGGAGAGTGTTTACGTGTGTGCTTATGTCTGGGAATGTGTGTATATCTGTGAGTATGTATGTGTGTGCAGTATCTGCCACTGTGTGTGTGTGTTTTGGAGTTTCTCTGTGAATGCATGTCTCTGTTAGGTAACTGGGAGGTGTATCTGCAGGTGTCTGGGAGAGTGTTTGCGTGTGTGCTTATGTCTGGGAATGTGTGTGTATCTGTGAGTATGTATATGTGTGCAGTGTCTATTAGTGTGTCCTGGGGAGCCCAGCAAAATGGTTTCATAATTTTTGATGGCTGTCCTAAGGCTAGGCTGACAGACCTGCACCAACAAGATCGGAGTGGGGATCTTGTACTTTATCTGGAGCTTCAATGGAAACCAGGATGCATCAAGAAGCAACGGTGTAAAACTAATGTGCTAAAAGTGACTACATCATCTAAACATTGTGCACATCTTGAAATGTCTTCACAGGAGTGAGTTCTATATAAAAGTCCTCCAATTACCCATTAGTCCATGAAGATATGTCCAGTGTTGCCAATTGCAGAGAAGGAGATCGGTGCCACCTCTTATACAGATTTAATTTGATGTTCTGGTAGACATCAAATTCTAGAAAATAATGTCACCCCGACACTCTGGAATTTGGACAGTGGAGGACAATATGTTAATACAAGCTTTCCCTCTAGAAGAGAGCTGGTTACGGATAACTAAAGTTGTATCTACACAGAGCTCTGCAGAATATGCCTTTTAGATCAAAGATAATGATAATATATCAGGACACTAATATGGATTACCATTGTGTTTCGGAGCACAGCATTTGGAAACAGACACCCACTGCTATGATACATAAATGGTCGTTTGATTGATGCTGAATACCACGTAGTTGCTAGTTACCAAAATTATCTTTTCATTCTTTGTTACCGTGTAATCATTCTAAAGTTCACTGAGCATCTGAATGCTTTACCTCTGCTTACTAAAGGATAAATCCCGAATATAAAGACAACTTAACTCTTTTGGTCCCAAAATGTTTTAGGTTCACTGTCTGTTGTGGAGATTTGGTTAGAAAGACATGAATTAAAGAACAACCTATTGATTTGCAACATACAATATCTTAACATAAATGGTGGCGGTTTATAACTTATATTTCCTTCTTCTCACTCAGGATTCTCCCAACCAGATGTTACACCATGTCATTTTGAGGTCAAGACTTCTATGAGCATATCAGATGGTACTGACTGCATGTAGAGTGCAGTCTACATACAGACCTACCCACCTCTCGCCCACTTACAAAAAACAAATATGGGTCAGCACACTCTCTGCGTGGTCTGCTCTAATGGGTCAGCTGGGAGACTGTCAGTCTAGATTGCATTCACGCCAGGCTGATAATGTAATAATTCAAAGTGTACATTTCAAAAAATGATCAACGTCCTCAACAGGAAGCCAAAAACAGGAAGTGCTGGGGGAGGAGTCTGCTGCTTGTCTTCACTATGTTTTCATTCAACACCGAAATGGGTTGTTGTACACTGAACAAAATTATAAATGCAACACCATTGCCCCCATTTTTTTGTGAGTTGAACTCAAAGATCTAAAAACGTTTCTATGTACACCAAAGGCCTATTTCTCTCAAATATTGTTCACAAATCTGTCTAAATCTGTGTTAGTGAGCACTTCTCCTTTCCTGAGATAATCCATCCAACTCACAGGTGTGGCATATCAAGATGCTGATCAGACTTAATATTAATTAGACTAATTATTATTAGATTATTGCAAAGGTGTGCTTTAGGCTGGCCACAATAAAAGGTCACTCTAAAATGTGCAGTTTTATCACACAGCACAATGCCACAGATGTTTTGAGGGAGCGTGCAATTGGCATGCTGACTGCTGGAATGTCCACCAGAGCTGTTGCCTGTGAATTGAATGTTCATTTCTCTACCATAAGCCCTCTCCAAAGGCGTTTCAGAGAATCTGGCAGTACATCCAACCGTCCGCACAACCGCAGACCACATGTAACCACACTAGCCCAGGACCTCCACATCCAGCATCTTCCCCTCCAAGATCGCCTGAGACCAGCCAACCGGACAGCAGCTGCAACAATCGGTTTGCATAACCAAAGAATTTCTGCACAAACTGTCAGAAACCATCTCAGGGAAGCTCATCTGCATGCTCGTCGTCCTCATCGGGGTCTCGACCTGACTGCAGTTCGTCGTCGTAACTGAACTTGAGTGGGCAAATGCTCACATTCGATGGTGTCTGGCACTTTGGAGAAGTGTTTTCTTCACGGATGAATCCTGGTTTTCACTGTACAGGGCAGATGGCAGACAGCGTGTACGGCGTCGTGTGGATGAGCAGTTTGCTGATGTAAACGTTGTGAATCGAGTAGCCCATGGTGGAGGTAGTGTTATGGTATGGGCAGGCCTATGTTATGGACAACGAACACAGGTGCATTTTATTGATGGCACTTTGAATGCACAGAGTTACCGTGATGAGATCTTGAGGCCCATTGTTGTGCCATTCATTCACGACCATCACCTCATGTTTCAGCATGATAATGCACAGCCCCATGTTGCAAGGATCTGTACACAATTCCTGGAAGCTGAAACCATCCTAGTTCTTGCATGGCCAGCATACTCACCGAACATGTCACCCATTCAGCATGTTTGGGATGCTCTGGATCGGCGTATATGACAGCGCGTTCCAGGTCCTGCCCATATCCAGCAACTTCGCACAGCCATTGAAGAGGAGTGGACCAACATTCCACAAGCCACAATCAACAACCTGATCAACTCTATGCGACGGAGATGTGTTGCACCGCGTGAGGCAAATGGTGGTCACACAGATACTGACTGGTTTTCGGACCCCCCCAGATCCCTCAATACAGTAAAACTGCACATTTTAGAGGGGCCTTTTATTGTGGCCAGCCTAAGGCACACCTGTGCAATAGTCATGCTGTCTAATCAGCATCTTGATATGCCACACCTGTGAGGTGGATGGATTATCTCGGCAAAGTGCTCATTAATACAGATCTAGACATATTTGTGAACAATATTTGAGAGAAATAGGCTTTTTGTGTACATAGAAAAAGTCTTAGATCTTTGAGTTCAGCTCATGAAAAATGGTGAAAAAAACAAAATTGTTGCGTTTATAATTTTGTTATTATTATTATTGCCATTTATATAGCGTCAACAGATTCCGTAGCGCTTTACAATATTATGAGAGGGCGGATTTAACTATAAATAGGACAATTTACAAGAAAACTTACAGGAACGATGGGGTGAAGAGGACCCTGCTCAAACGAGTTCACAGTCTATCAGTGTTTAATTGAAGGATGTCTTTTTATACATCACTGCTCATGTTACCTATACTTTTAGAAGTTTATCTAACAGGAAAAAAAGAAGTCTCAGCTGTTCTGTGTTTAGCTTGCCAACTGCCCTGATCCGCACTTTAACATTCATTTCCATTGCACTATATTCCAGCTACCTGACACAGTCTATAAAGCTGGGAGTTTAGTAAATAAAGCTGCCATTACTTTTTATTTAGTGGGAAGTTAATGGTGAGCAGCTGTAAAGATTATTTGCCTGCTGCTGGCGAGATAAAAATCCAGCGGCAATTAGAGTCTTGAACATAGTCACACTGGATGACACACAGTCATTGACCACAATAAATTAATGTATTTGAACCTGTGAGCCACGTACTGATTAATAGCACTTTTAATGTTCTTAGCGATAGGATGTGAAATTCAAACGTGGACATTAAAAAGTGACTGAGGTTTCTTAAGGATGTTCCTTAGATACAAATGTTTAGTCGACTGTGACGTGTTTTGTAGCTGCGGAGCTTTAACAGATGAAAAGGGGCAACAGTGAGCGCGTGCCAAGGACAGCATGACACGTAACACTGACATATTTAGAAAACGGAATAGGTAAATGTAGCTTTTAACACTTCAATTTAATAAGCTTTCAAAAGAATTCAGAATTGTTAGAAAAGCAATCCAAATGATTTGGCTACAAATATTCCCATAGACTTTAAAAGGTTACTCCAAACCTTAGATATGGGGGAGTAAAAAATAACTCCCTATTAGGCATTATTCTTTATGTACCCGCTTACCGATCGCTACATAGATCGGTTTAAAAGAAGTTTTACTTACCTGGAATCCAGTGACAGGTGAAGTTTCCGGTGCTTCTGTCCAAGCCCCTGTTGTCATGGCAGCCGACGCATGGTCCAATAAGAGGCTTATAATAAAGAAGCCTTTAGATGGACCCTTTAGCTGTGTCAGAGCAAATGCACGCGCTCCAAGATGGCAAGGGGAAGGGTGGAGAGAGGGAGAAAAATAAAATTGCATAGATGGAATGGGGAGGTAGATGGGCTGCAGGCAGGGACACTTATGGGCAAATGCAAATATTACAAGTTTTAGAACTGTGTACTTTGTCTATCAGAGATATTGCAAACTGACAAAGTGTCAGAAATGGAAGATATTGTTTTTCATACATGTTTCTTTAAGCAATAACCTCTAACCTACTTTCAGTGCATAATATGTTTACACCAGTTTGTCTTAGCTTAATACAAAACAAGTAATGCAATGACATCTTCAAGGCTATGCTACGTCATCGGACTTTAGGAAGCCATCTTGTCCCAAGTCAGGGAATTTCCCACGACGTGTGCACTTACGTGTTAGTTATGGCCTTGTATCTTTGCCAAGTTAAGGGAGGTCCTAAAATGAACATTTAAGATATAAATATGTGTACCTTTTAAAAGTTAATGGACAGAGGAGAGATTTGGAGACCGAGACAGTGTCGCTCCATATTATAATGACTGAGAGATGTTGACATGTTCAAGAGGGTATGTTATTTTATTGTAATGATATTGCAAGCATATATTTCATCTTATAAACTCTGCTATAAATTATTGTAATGGACTGCTTTATAGGTCTATATTTATATTTGGACTGCAATATAGGTCTATATTTATATTTTTTATAAATTAAATATCTAAAAAGACAAAACTTTATTGCTTCCAAGACAATCCTTATGCGGTTACAACAGTAAGCTCATTTAAAGCAAAGTTCTCATCAACCTATTGTTTATGTAACATTTTGTAATTGTCTCATTTATTGTTAATTTTATAACATTGTAAAATGCTGTAATAAGTTGGAGCTATATAAATACCAATAAATAATATAAGATTTTCCTTACAGGTACTGCCTGCAGGGTGAGAATCATATTACGTCTGTTGCCAGTATGTTGTAAGCGAGGAGAACAGATGGAAAATGTGCACAGAATTTACATTAGCCAGCCTGGAACAGAGTCCTGGGCTGCCAATGTCACATGTGGCAGGGGTGGAGCTAGCCCCCTGCACACAAATGCCAATTTCTGGATGTACACTCTAAGATGGCAAGAGGAGGGTGGGAGAAGGATGGGTGGATGGTTGGAGGGAGGAAAGGGGGACCTGAAACACGTCACATCCCCAAACTCCTACCAACATGACAACTTCAAAAAGCAGAAATGGTCATGGTGGTTGGAGTAACCCTTTAAAGGTATATATAACAGTATTGATTCATCTGGAAAGCATATCAAATTAAGCCCTTTATTGGAAAAGTGAATGATAGATGGCAGAACAGCAAATAGGCCGACTTCAGCCACCCATCACCCATCCCCAAACACCCTGAATACAAAGTGTTTCAATTTGAACCCTGATTCCTGTTAGGATGGATTCTCTTAGTAGAGTAAGGGTTTACTTTGCTCACTGAATGGCAATTCCTCTATTGACATCTATGGGAAAATTGATAATCAGTAAGTAGAGTTAACTCTTACTGTGCAAGAAAATCCAGCCCTAAGAGTCAGGGCAGAACTACGTCTATCACAGGTAAGAATACCGACAGCAATGGTTTAATGTGCGCATAAGGTAGGATAATCTGGAAACGCACAATCGCATTATGTCCTAAAATATTTGGGCTGACAGAACACCTCGATAACGGCACCCACTCTCGAATGGCTCGAAGACGGCATCCACTCTCTGCCCATTCTCATGCTAAACCATTCCAACCCCTTTAGACGAGCCCAGTACTACCCTAAAGCCCTGCATAATGTTATCAGTATTTTTCTTCTGGTTAGATATTGCTAACCTATTTATTTAGAACATCATTCAATAAGTGGCGATGCCGATTAGCCTGTAAAATGACAGTAGTGGTACTTAACAGGAGGAATCGTTGGCTCTGCTTTTTATTTCCTTATAGAATAAGGTCAGGCTTTGTACTACTTTAAAAAAACTGGCGCTGCAAAGAAAGCTATATTTAGCAGCCCTCTATTATATATGTAGATGGCGTGTTAATAAAAGTAAAAAGGTATTCTGTTTTCCTTGTCTAAACTCTATATGCTTGCATGAAAAAAGCACCATTTGTATCTACTGATTTCATTCCATTTCCAATTTAAATCAAGCTAAATAGTCAACAAAGGGTTTACGGCTACGCCATAAACAGTGACATGCGCGATTTTGATAGCGGACTGTGAAAAAAATTAAAATGTAAAAATAGCTACACTAGAAGAAAAAACTGCAGCATTTAATTTTTTTTCTCATCTCGGATACTTTGTCCTAAATGATGCAACTATTCAGCAAAACACAATGTTCAATCTCATATTTTGTAGGAGAGGCCGAGCTTGGTGAGATAATTTAATTACTAATTAGAACAACCAAATGGTCAAGGAATATAAATTTTGGCCACTGCATGAAATAGCTTCTAGGACCAAAAGGCTCATCTTTTTCACTGAAGACGAGGTAGCTACTAGGAAAACTTTGACAACATACCTATAGAAGGGTAGTGGGGGAGTGGAGGGGTGGTCCAAACAGGATCTGTCATTAATTTGTTGGACACAGTTATCTGAATTCTATGAATTGTTGCCCCAAAACATCCGGATGTCCGAAACATCTTCTGGAGCCGATGACGGAGGAGAAACGACGAAGTGTCTTGGCCAACACAAGTATTATTGCATTATCTATTCCACAGAGTTTGCGATCAGTGCTCTTTTTCAAAACCAAAAGAGCTTAAATTGCACCAATGTATCTACATAGGCACACCGCCAGGGGACAGTCACTAGGGTTGTATTACCATTCAAGAGTCCCACCATCGCTTGAGTTATTGCATAGACTTGGAAACTTCTAAAGCAAAGTGGGTATCAATCATGTAATGAGCATTTAATGCTGGAAAATGACATACAATCGTGATATTTCTCTACGAGGTTCTTAAATGCCACTTTGTACACCCCTAACTATGTGTGTCATTTGAGCGTGCCTCTTGCCTTCTATATATAAAAAAAAACTTCATTAATAAAACATTTTGGGATTCAGGGTATGTTTCCCATTAACATAAATGAGGATGTGGCTGGCTGGAGATACATGTTGATGCTCTGGAGTGTTTTGTCTTTGTAAGTGGAATAAAACTTTAATTTGCAGACTACATAAAGCTTTTAAGAAACCTCCGGCTGTCCCAATTTAGTGACATCACTGGCAGCAGAGAGCTTTTGGTCTAAAAGTGACACGCAGGGCAAAATATTCAACGGTTGGCGTCTGTGACGCTTTGTCAGTTTGCTGTATACAAAATAAACCCTCCAGTGTTTTTGAAACAGTTAGATTTTGCGATGTTAGAAATAAGGAGAATGGGTAACAGACATAGAAAAATAGAAAAAGAAAAAGGGTCCCTTAAAACCAGTGCCCTGGGATTGAGCTGTTACTGCCTGCCACTGTTCTAAGCTCATTTATCATTTATATATGCAATATGAACGTCAGTTTTATAGTAATGTGTCCTAATTAAAGTTCACACTATGGAGTGTATTCAGTGAATTGGACCTCCAGCTCAGCTATATAGTCATCACTTGTCTGTTTTAGATAGCTTCACAATTTTTTTATTTTTTATTTTTTTTTTAGTTCACGATTATCCAGTATTCAGTGAATCAACCCCAAAGAGATAGTGGTCCTTTTTTAAGTTCAATGGAGGGATGCAATGGTTCTATTAGAGGTTTGGGACAACACAGCAAGGCTAGGCTGACACAAGCCTGCGGTGATTATTTTTTGTTTTGTAACTTAATTTTGTTTACAAAATATATTGCATATAGTGTTAAAAAATATATAGGATTTATTTTGTAAATATCTTTTTAATTATTCATGTTTGTCATTCCTTTTTCTTAATTAAGCATGATTAGAAATATGACAAAATAATAACAGAACAGTTAATAATTATTAGACTAAATTTCCTAATAATTGATTTCTCCTAACTCAACTCTATAAAGACAATTAACTCTGTATACGCTGCATTTGTTCACTAAACCAGGAACTGAGGAGAATAAAAGAGGTAGAGCTGTTGAATATTCTGCCAGAAAGGGTTTTTTTTTTTTTTTTTAAATCAGATTACGATTAAAACATTTTTTTAAAAAGGTCTGGAGGCTGGGCATGATAGCCATGTTATGTGAACTCCTCGTTATCAATAACTGCCTCTATTTTCTTTCATTGCTAGATTGGTAGAGACTTACCTCATCCTCGTCCTGGAAGGTCCACATTAGAGCGATTACGATCATATTTTCACAGAGTTCTCCACTCTATACAATGCGAACTAGTGTGCAACCTGGAGCAATCTGAGCCCCTGTGGTAACATACTTTTGCCCTGCCCTATCCATTATAGGCAATACTTACTTGCTTGGACACAATATCACCATTTCCACCACTTGTTGATGGTGTTAAAAGTGATATTTTCCGCTAAATGCAAACTCAAGGTCTTGACTGGACTAACTGGTGGACAGAGGGTTCAGGCTGCTCTGGGAACTTGGGTGATGCTCACCAGCTACCTGCAGCTCCCTTGGGATTAATCCTGGGGAATCAATTGGGCCGTTACACCAGTTCACCTACGAGAAATAATATTCCCCGAGTTTGGTGTAGGCTGAGAAAGATTTGGTTGGGGCTGCTTATTCTTTAGGCAACTAGTAGATTAGCCGTTTAATTATTTATTTGTCCCTCCGGCGGTCTAACGCTGTTTCTGTTTTATATGTCCCTGTAGAATGTAAGCTGAGCAGGGTCCTTTTCAACTTATCGTTCCTGTAAATTTTCTTGTAATTGTCCAATTTATAGTTAAATAACCCACTCTAATAATATTGTAAAGCGCTACGGAATCTGTTGGCGCTATATAAATGGCGATAATAATAATATGCACAAGTCGTTTGCTTACCTCTCACACGTGAATTACAACTCTCAGATGTGATTTACGCTAATCATTATCATATAATTCTTGTGGATTAGCATGGAATGGCTTACACCCAAACCATCCACACCATGTTGATGAGAATACAAGCGAGCAGATTTGTAGCTATTGATATATTGTCTGAAACAGGGGACTCCACATTGACAGACCACACAAAGCCTTGCGGTTTCCATGGAAGCAATAATATTTTTCAAAAGGCATAATAAGCCTATCTAATTATCTAATTAATTTGACGGCATAAAAATCATCTAATCACTGTCAACAGTGGACTGGTACATGAAATATTATACATACACACGCACTGACATACACACAGAAGTACTATTTAACCCCTTAACAACTTCTGAAATAAAAGGGAGTCATGACGGAATATTTCCGTCAGGTGTCCTTAAGGGGTTAAACATAACTAACAAATTAGATAGGAAGGGAAATATTATAGTTAAGCATTATATACAATCTATCAATGATATCCCATTTGTAATCCAATTTCTGTCTCACATCCTGGCATTTGTGCCTTATCACCAATATTTATCCAATTATTTGCTAGATCTGAGAGGGTATTAGACATATGGATTGCAGAAATGGCATATTTGATAAAGTCTATTGCATGACATTTCTGAGGGGCAATAATAGCATGCTTTGAAACAGCAAGAGTTCACGCTACGTGGGTGTTTTTAGAGATTTCTGATGAACTAAACTGGTAACAAGGTGGTATATTGAAAAGGCCACATTCGAGAAGGATAAAATGCCACAATCACACAGCTGGAAGGGGAGGAGAAGAGTGTTAACACAGCTTCATTAAACAACAACAACTCAACGATGAGGGAGTGAAGGGATGATTCAGAATTCATACACAATTCCTATGCCAGTAACGAAGTGGCAGATTCACAGGTAGAATAGGAGGTAGATTTTAAAAAGGGACTGTCACTTCTGTGGAGATTATATCACTCAATAAAACATTGAAAATCACCGACAACTTATGTTAACTTTTTTTTCCCTCTTGAATTGCTGTTTTTCCACATTCAGTAATTTTTTAGAATTTTATTTATATAAAAAAAAAAAAAAAAAACACATTCCACAGTACTGTACCGTGGCATTCGTCATGAGCATATATGATGAGGATATATGGCTTCAGAGCGGGATTGCAGCAGAAGTATCCCTAACATCTTGTCTAATTTGGATTTTTCTCTAGTCGATGACTACACAAGTTAAACCTTTATCTTGCGAAATGTCAGTTCAAGCCAGTCAAGCAGAATCTAACGGGATTGGAGAAATGTCTCCCCTTGCTGGTGAGAAAGAAATACTACATGGATTAATAAATAAGGTCTCACATTGCCAGAACGCTTTAATAATATTATCACTTTCTGATAGGAATAGAATAATAGAATTAGAAATCTAATTAACTGGCTAGTTACCCGGATTTCTCATCCAGTGTATATCCCATGCATGGCAGTTCCAGTGTTATGGCACATTGGGGGGATTTATCAAAGTGGTCCATTCTAAAAGGTGTTCTAAAGTACAAAAATCAGCGCAATCATCATGGAAACCAATAGGACTCTTTCGAAAGAGAGGAAGCAGGGAAATGTCATTTGAGGCTTACTGGCCAAGCTACAAGAGGAAAAAGGGAGTATGTGTGAGCTACAGCCCTTGGAATTAGTTTGGAGGAACAAAGGGTATATGGTGTATATTATGACATTCTACTGAACACTATGGGGTGATTATATTCTGATATATTGATGTAACGTATGGGTCAGAAAAGAGTAATCTTAGGCAGACACTGTAGCAAGATTTATCAAATTGTTCTGCTTTGAAAAGTGGTGATACAAAGATGTAAAAGGAAGGCATCACTAATAGAATGTACCGGATGATTCCACTGGTTTCCATGGTGATTGCCCTTCTTTTGCACCATCTTCCAGAAGGCAACACTTTCATAAATCTCAATTTTCCCATGCCTCAGTCATTATTGTGGAATTAGGATAATCCTAATGATTTCATGTGATTAGCGGAATTTCTACACAAGGAGAGACTTTGTAAGCACTGTCTGTATGCATTTCATTAATCTGTCTCAAAGAGAGAAAGCTCACACCATAACAACATCAAAAGTGCAATGTGTGGACTCCATGCCGCAACTAGGAATAAGGTTAAAAAGGGACGAGTGGTAAATCATAGACTAATGACAAAGCACTTAAGAAAGAAAAAAAAAAAAACAGTTTTTGGAAAGTATTCCGTAGATATGTTGAAATAAAAAAAATAAAAATTGTGATGTATGTTGCTGAGTCAATGTCTCAAATATTAAAGCCTTTTGGAATCCTTATTGTAGCTTGTTCTAACCATCCACAATTGAAAATATAACTGTACAGATAAATTATGTGTAATTAAAATGTCAACAATAATCAGTTTTGATTAATTTGCTATTTGTGGTTTACCCCAATATATACCTACACTACTTTGATAAATAGCGAAGAAAAATGAGAATCTAGGGGAAATCACTTAGTAGAAATATTGTGTTCTAAAAAGATGGAACGGTGTAGGTCAATCAATGTGCTAAAATAATTAGAATGTATTAACATAATTATAAAAACCAAACAATATAAGAGAGCGCAATGGAAAAGTATACCTAAAATAACGATAATAAAGTAGGTGGATACAATAGAACCGTCCCAAGTTCCAAAAAATTATTTGTGTTTATTAAAATAATTATACAGTTATGAAATGCAATAACAACTCCCCATTTTATAAATAAATGACTACTATTGGTAAATGTAATACTACTAGTAATTACTTGGTATTTTATTAGTACACATCGGTTTTAGTGCCTTTATATCTAAACTGTTCAAACTAATGAGATTACGGTCACACAGATACAGTGCAACCGGAGACAAAAGTGACATCTGTTCCGGTGACATTCTCTGTAACCGCAGGCGTGTTCGTATGAATATGCTATGTCAATGGATATGATGTATTGTTTTAGAACATAAATGAATATTGCACACGTTCTCGAGCTCTGCCTTTTCATCGAGAGATTAACTTTATCAAATCATCTCAAGTCACAAAAATATTGCCTCAATTTATATTCGGAAATAATCCTGTATCGATCGATATACATCTGGCTTTCTTTGTAAGTTTATTTACACGTAGCACCGGCAAAATTATTTTCCTTTCTTTTTTGGACTTTAAACTTTGGACGTCTGCCCAATATTTTCTAGTACTGTTTGAGTTTCTAGTGGAATCAATACTCCCATGGGGACACGTCTTTATTTTAACGACTTGATGTTATCCTCGTGTGTTTTAAGAATAGGATTTAATCGCTGAATTTGGAATGTGGAAAACGGACAAGGGAATATGTGACAAATGCTTCGTTCCATGAAAGTTTTCCACAACCTCCTGAAGTTTTCCACCGACTCCATAGTCGGTGGGCAGGTGGCCAGCTTCCACACTTCTCCAGTTTGTGGAAAAGAGCGTTTGTAACAGCATAGTAAATTTCACTGGTTTTGCTCCTCTTCCTGAGTTGTGTTTCAAAGCTGTTGTATACAACAGACACATACTCCAAGGAATCCATGTTTAAAATGGAATTATAAGGCAAAAATGTGGTTCATTGTTGATATTGTGGATTGACTGGTGTGTGTGAAAGGGAGGTTCTCCTGAAAGCTTGTCATTACAATTCTGTTAGTCCAATAAAAAAGGTATTACAAGATACAAATGTTATCTTTTTTGTACATCTATATATATATATATTTGATTGTACATAACTAGATTTTTCTAACACATTGAGGGATTTCCTTGTTATTGTCTAGACCAGGGGTAGGCAACCTACGGCACTAGTGCCATGCACTCGAGGTGTCTTTGTATGGCTCTCAAGGCTGCTAGAGCCAAACGCACTCTGGTATATCAGGAGTCCCAGTAAAACTTCAGATATCTGCTAATACGAAGAGGTGGTGAAGGACAAACCTCAATTTATGCATTGCAGCACATAGAGTAAGTGATCTCAGATCACTTCCTCCCAGCACTTGTGAATGGGAATTCACAGTGTAGTAGAGCAGCCCTCGACAGCTATCGCAGCTCCTGTCCTTGACCTGTGTCTGGCCAGCCTGGTCGCCACTGGAACCCAGGGAACCCACCCACGCTGCTAGATATACACAGAAATGTAGAATAACCCTACCCACATACAAATAATATGAACAGCCCACACACACACAACACACAATCCCCACAAACGCAACACCACTAACAATATACATACATGCACACAACCCCACATGCAGCCTCTCACATTCAATACCCCAAACAGCCCCCACACACTACCAAACACACAATGTGACATATCCATCCACACACAATTCCACAAGCAGCCCCCATACACAGCCCACATTCATATGTATCATACACGATACCATAAACTACTCATGAACAGATACATTATAATAGCTCATATACGCACAAATACAACAATACAAAGCAATTACAGTAAAAATAACACAAGCAGAATACGGCAGCATACACACCTCAATTTAAAAAAATAGGATCGGCACGCTATTGGACATCACAATCCTATATAGGCACAGTGCTGCTAAAAGGTTGCCTATCCCTGGTCTAGACTATTAAACTTTAGAAAGTTCCCGTTTTATGGCCACATCCACTGAGGCAAGCCTGCTCATCTACTCTAGACTCTGTCCTCCTGACAAAGCCCCTATGGATCCACCAACAGATTAATAGCCACGCTTTACTGTCTCCTTCCAGCCATAGGATTAACAGCTAATATACTGGTGAAGAGACAGAATAGTGATATATTGAAACTCGATGGACTTTAGCCTTTTTTCAGCCTAGATTACTGTGTAACTATGTAACATCTGCACTCTCATTGCGAATGGGTAAAGGTCAATGGCTGGGAATAACTTCTATTTCAAATCAACTTCGCAACCTTCTCTTCACACTGCATCCCTCGCTAAATCTTGTCACTTTCACTTATAGAACCTCCAGGATCTGTTATGGCAAAATACTTATCCATTTCTAGTAATAATCTGTCTTGATTTTCCTATCGGACTTGACTCTCTTCCACGTATCCCAAGTATAATCCATCATACTAAACTCTACCCCTTTTCCTCTTATATTATGCAGGGGGATTTGTGCCGGTCTTCTCCTTTAATTATGTTCCTCATTTCTCTTTTTAATCTGTTTTAACGATTGTTAGAATTACCGAGTCTCCAATCTGTCCCCCACCTTAGACATCAATTTCAACCATGTGTGTGGTTGAATCTCCTATGTAACCCACTTACCTTCGATCTCACTGCCTCCTAGACTGTAAGTCAACAACATCAGGGCTCTAAAGCTCGCTGTACCAATATTTTGCTGCTTGTATGTTACAAGTTGTCAGTTTATCTGTAACATTGCCGTACAACATACAGGAGGTAATCAATAGAAAATAAATAATTATTGCGGTCTGTGAGAACTGGAGTTTGGTTTGCCAACTACAGCACTCTCTTACTGCCCGTCCCTGGCACTGCATTCTAGAACCGATGTACAAATTACACAACCTCTTACTACATCTGCTACGGCTTCCTAGAAAGGCACATACTGTATTGATTAATCATGTTGTTAGGTTTATGAAACATGTTGCTAGTGCAAAGTTCCATTTAAGGAAAATGTATTATATCATTCCAGAATGGCCCTTCACTGTCCCCACCATCAGCACATCTGTTTTAGAAACATGGCCTGTTCAACTATGTTAAAGGGATACTATAAGCACCAGCACAACTTTAGTTTAATTAAACAATTTTGAAGTATAGATACTGCTCAATTCTCTGCCATTCAGGAGTTAAATCACTTTATGCAGCCGTAGTCACACCTCCCTGCATGTGACTTCCACAGCCTTCCTGAGACCAAACCTAGATATTTTAGGTTCTTTTATTGCACAGTCGGTTTAATCTAGAATTTCTTATTGCCTACTCTATTAATAGTCTACTGGACCCTGCAGGAGCCTCCTGTGGGTGATTGTTCAGATAACAGAGCAGGAGAAAAACAAATCTTCTAAAGCAAGTTAACATCTGATTGAAATGAAACCATTTTGTCATGTAGGCTGTGAGAGTCTCAGCCACTGGAGGTGTGGCTAGGGCTGCATATGCAGAAACAAAAGTGATTTAACTCCTAAATGGCAGAAAATTGAGCAGTGAGACTGCAGGGGCGTGATCGATACACTAAAATGGCTTCATTAAGATAAAGTTGTTTTGGTGCCTATAGTGTCCTTTTAATATTTTCTTTTGCAAAATGTTCGACTACTTCAATTAACCAGGCATCATCTACCAGCATTCAATAGGGATGTTAATGACTGCCTTCTGTGTAAAGTGATTTAAGGATAGATAGCGACTGACTAGCATGTCAAACTAGGTTTAATATTGGTGATAATAGGAGCTGCAGTTGAGTCCTTGGTCCCCTCACTGTGACTAACAGTCCACTAAGGAGTACTGAGGCAAAGCACTAGACTGCGTGTCTCACGTGGCAACATCGCATCAAACGCAAGTCTTTCAAGCTTTCTTACCTTTCATGCAATCCAATTATATTTCTGCCTCTTTAACTCCATTGCGGCAGGGTGCAATATACATCATGTTCATATGACAAATGGAGCAATTGAGTTGGCTCCACATCATTGGAATATACGGGATTTATTTATTAAACAGTGAGCTGCAATCGACTCACAACCAAGTTGAAAACGATACACTAAAAAAGCAGGACTTGGCAATATTTTCCAATTTCAGTTTGGTGGTTTTTAGTCTGTTTCTATTTCATTTTATGTCAGTTTTAGGACTTCAATTTATAGGCTGGGATATATCTCACATATCTGGCAGTCAAAGTCTGGGATTGGTAGTCAACCAACTGTGTGAAGGTCGTGATTAGATAATCATTTATTGGATTATCATTATACACATTCTGGACCATTCTACTTTCTATTTTAGAGTCATCACATGCGTGTGAGATACAAATTGGCTTCATTGAAAATGAAGTAGAACGCTTCCAACTTGTCTTTTACAGTCTAAATAATAAGTAATAATTTATGACAAAACAGAATTATATAGCATTAAACAGAATTTACTGTTGTGTTTCTACTAATTAGTAAGTCTTATTAAAATGATGTAATTGTATCAAGGAACTATTCCTCCATGTAGAAGGCATACGAGGTTGCACATGTAGGACCTAGTGAGCATCATCAATGCACCACAAGGATCACATAAATAGGTCATGGTCCAATGTCACACATTAAGCAGGAGCCACAATCATCACCAGACCCGTCCTTAGGGAGGGGAGCCTGGTGCTCGTGCCTGAGGTTTCATGCATTTGGGTGTTTTTCTATGAAGTTATCATTTTATTAATTCCCATCACCACAAGTTTCAAAGACTTGGGACATCGGCTGCACGTTGACTCTCTTACACCAAATGTGTGGCAGAAGCACAAAGGACTGTAGGAGTCCCAACTACGTGCAACCGATGTTCCAAGGCTTCTGTGATTCTGGTGGGCCCAGTTTTGGAAGGGAACCGTAAAAGAGCTGTGTGCTCAGCAGCATAATTGTCTAACTGCATGGATCTCCTGTTCATGCTAAGCTCTCATGTGATCAACCTAGTACGCAAATGGAAGAGGAAAGGAAGGAGTTTTAGATTAGATGCTTAATTTGGGAAGAAAAAAACAAGTCCACACCAGGTCAAACAAACAGTATGACCCTGAACACAAAACAATAATTTGTGGTTGAATCTACATCTCGGTCACTTAGCAGGTCATATAATTGTTCCTTTACCTTTCTCCAGATATAACTCACCACTAAATGAGTACAAGCTCTGTCAGTAACACTTTGTATTTCTCTGGACACATTTGTTTCCCGGTGCTTCTTGACCGTTTTTCTGTTTTTTACGTAGAATTGGCTGGTAGCTAACCTGGATCTGGCCAACAGGGAAAAATATTTCTCAGCTTTCCCAATTGCATTGTCAGAAATATACCAGTCACTTAATAAAACCTGGATATTATGGATCTCAAGAGAATGTGTCTCTCATTCTACTCCTTCGTCGCCTGCACAGAGAGAGCAACCGGGTAATAAACAATATGCTGTTTCGCAATATCTGTGGAACAGGGGAATTACAGTAAATATGCCGGTATAGTTGTTATTTATTCATTCATTCAGTAAACCAGGGATGGTGAACCGAGACGAGAGCTTAAAATTGACTAAGTCGGAAACATAGTGGAGTTGGAGATTTCGTTTTTAACAAATTGGGCCAGTTTGACCAATAATTTGCAGTTTCCTTGTCAATTCACTCAAATACTGAGATTAGTAAATAATCCCCCGAATCATTGCTGTAGGAACCTCGAACTGCTCTTGTTATTATCAAAATGATGACATGCACAGTGGGACGATAACAGACACCAATACGAGATGATGGACTTAATTGGTGGGCTTGGGTTGGGAGCGATGAAAATAGTAATTGGCTTGGATTGAAGCCACATGCTGGCAAAGCTTCACGAGATACGCGGTTTATAATATCTAGAGTGTTACCTGTTTGCTGACCCTTCATTACAGCTGTAACTTGGACAATACATATCTCTGCTGTGCTGACCCTCCAATTACACATGAAAAGAGGATGCACTATTAACATTTATTTATGCTTTCCAGTTAATGTGCCCACATTCATCTGTTCTCGTCTACACAGCTCCTTCTACTTGTCCTCCCCCCCCTTTCACATTCTCCCACCAGCAGACGGTAAATCTTATTAGAACTTTGCATGCCTCAAAGCTATGAAAGCTGTGATAAAGACAACACACAATGCTTGCCGCCGAGCACGCACACGCCATGCTAAGACACACAGACAGACAGTCGCTGCCAGCACTTTATTCACTAACTAAACCAAGAATTGGAGAAAATTGACAAGGAAAATGCACATTTTAGATCAATCTAGCTGAGCTGGGAAAATAGCAGAAATGGGATATAATTTCCAGTGCTGCTATTTTTGCCTTACATGTTAGGTCCCGTATCATTTAAGAATACCTAATTTAGTGAATACCTCCCATATCAGGACTGATGGCACATGAAGGGCAGTTATAGATATACACTGATACCTGACCAGATTCCATGCCCATGGTCTGAAAGTGGAGTAATTACCATGGACACCAATGGAATAGATCAGGCTCGGACTGGCCATCGTCCACACCGGGCAAATGCCCGGTGGGCCGCGGTGTCTATGGGCCGAGGCCGGCAGGGTATATCACAGGATCTCCCCTGCCGGTCCATCCAGGGCCATCACTATCCGAGCGCCGACCCCGCTGATTTCCACGATGGGCCGGTGGAAAGATCAAAGATCTCCCTCACCGGCCCACATGCAGTGTAATGCGGCCGCCGGCTGAGGAGGGAGACGGTCAGGAGAGGAACCCAGAGGAGCTCTATCTTGCAGCTCCGCCGGGTTCCTCTCGCGAAATCCAGAGCATTGCTATGGCAACGCTCCACATCTCGCAAGAATGAACTCTAGCCCCACAGGCTAGAGTTAACTCACCACTAGCACCACCAGGCATGGCAGCACGGTCCCCCCTCCAAGGCTAAAGGTAAGAACGGAAGGGGAACAAAATCAATGCTTGTTTATTTATTTTAATATATATTGATCATAATCTGCCCCACCTCAACACACAAGCCCTCCAAAAATATTCACACACCAGCACCCTCACTCTCACACACACACACACACACACTGCACCCCTGGCACTCATAGCACCTTCACTCATGCGCACACACACACAGCACCCTCACTCACACTGTACCCCTCTTGCACTCACTGCACCCCACACACACACACACACACACACACACAGTACCCTCACACACACACAGCACCCTCACAGCACCAACACACACACAGCACCCTCACACACACACACTACACAATACTCTTTCATGGCATTTTTGTCTCCATGTTTTCCATCTATGGAGAAAAGAGAGACAAATTTCAAGCAAACACAGTGCAAGCATGTTATTAAATTTGCTTGCGTTGTGCAGAACAAATACAGGGCCGTTTTCTCATGCTACAGCTCTTCAGCAGAGCTCTGCGCAGGGTCTGCCCTGGAAGTGCATTGAACCAACATGCTCATTTTGTGATGGGGCATGCTTGTCATTGGTGACTCATATGGCCCTCCCCCTTTTCAGTGGGCCACTGTAATTAAAAAATGCCCTAAGGCTAAATTTTCATCCCAGTCCGGCCCTGGAGTAGATTTACTGATTGTACCACTTTTTGAATTTGCTCCAGAGGAGATCCCTAAATTCAGCCTCCAGCGTAACGCACATTTCCATACTAATGGCAGTGACACAAAAGGCATCTAAACTCAGGTTTAAAAGCTAAACGGATAAAGAGGGTGCTCTAGATACACACAATGGAACAATTCTAAAAATAGCAATTTTGAGAAGAGAGTTAAAAGCTGGAACTTTCTATTTTTAGGTAAACCTGCTTATTAAAACAGAATAGAAAGGACAGAAAAGAGCTTCATCGTTAAGCAAACGTTTAAAAAAATAACTACGAAGAAGACTATGAACCCCAAGCAGCATAAAATCACTATAATATCCACGTCAGTCTAAGATGCAAAGTCTCTCGACATCAGCGATTGTTTAATATGACATATATCATAAAATTAAAGCAGAACAATCAATTCTCTGAAAATTGTATAATTGAATAAAACAATCAAAATCGCCTATAATTTGTGTTAACCTTTTTTTTTTTTTTTATTAAAATGCTCCATTTTATTGAGGTATGACAATCCAGTTTAGTGAAGGCACAGTCAGGGCACTCAATGTAAATGAGGAGAAAATAAACACGGTTTCTGTTTTTCCTCTTCCACTAACTATATTTAATAGCAGAATATGATAACATTTATAATGTCGATTAACAGAGAAGTATGATGAAGGCGCACAGCTCCAGGATATATGTGTGATTTCTACGTTTTATATTTTTTAGACCTCACAAAAACATATTTGCTAAAAATATAGAGTATGAGTAAACAAAATGCTAATTTCTACATTATGAGTAAAATATTTTGTTACTGTATGCGGAATTCATTTGGTGCAGAATAGAAATCATTTAATCAACAGGGTAGCATTTTTAATGGAAGCATCTGCTCTGCTATCCGGTCTGAGAGCAAACAGTCCATGCGGTTTAGGGTTTGCGAGCTCGAGAGAAGCGGAGGTGCAGACCGGAGACACTGGGCTCTCTTCCGGCAGGGAAGACTGAGTATGGGGCCTCAGAACCGTCAGCACACAAGACCCGGCAGATCAGTCTGCCCTAAGGCGAGTTAGCCGACTGTGAGGTCTTTGGCGACTACCTAACTTGGCTAATTAGAAAGACGCCTCTGTGGTCCGCAGAGAAGCAAATAAAGGCTTGCTCTGGACTAGTTAACATGTACCGGGGCAGCAAAGTGCCTCCCCTGTCAAAGTGCAACCTGGAGCCGGCTCTGAATGTTAGTATGTCTGGCATCATGCTTATTTAAATCGGTGTTTTGTATATAATTTGAATCCTATACTTTGGGTTAAAATTCATCCTTTTCGCATCCGAAACCTATACAGACATGAAAATTATGGATAGATGATTGATGGTTAAGGAACAACCACTAAATGTTGATTGCATTCACAGATCAAGTGAGACATGACTAACAGAGGCAAATGTATAATATAGCAGGTAACTCTTTTCTTTGTTTTTATTCAAATAAACATAAAAGTGTTCTCGCCCTTTTGGTGTGTCTGAATCATTTTTTTTTTTTAATTTAAAAATGTTTTAAATCATTTTTAAATCGCCAAGATTGTAGGCTGAACTGAAACACATCCTGAATCGTTCAAGCCTAAAAATGTTTTCGCCTATGTTGTTTCAGTCGACCACATTTTTCCACCATGCACATGTCTATGGAATACAGCCAGCAAATTGTTGCAGATTTGGTCAGCTTGATCGAATGCCAACTGGAATTAGCTTTTGAAAATATGAGATCTGCCATTCCGATCGGAATTCGGACATATTCACAAGATATTCTTCTCCCCAACTCCTCTCTGTTGGTGTCCCCCAAGGTTCTGTCCTTAGTCCCCTACTGTTCTCCATCTATACTGCCTCCCTGGGTAAACTTATTAGCTCCTTTGGCTTCCAATATCATTTCTATGCAGATGACACACAAATCTACCTGTCCTCTCCTGATCTCTCCCCATCCCTCTTGACTAGTGTATCTGACTGCCTCTCTGCTATTTCTAACTGGATGGCTGCCCACTTCCTTAAACTAAACTTGACCAAAACTGAAATTCTGGTCTTTCCTCCCTCAAGTGTTGTTACTCCTGTGTCTGTCTCCCTCCAAGTCAACGGTGCTACCATCAGCTCCACCACGCAGGCTCGCTGCCTAGGTGTTCTCTTTGACTCCGACCTCTCCTTCAAGCCTCATGTTAAATCTATCGCCAAATCCTGTCATTTCCATCTCAAAAACATTGCGCCCATCCGCCCCTACTTAACGCCAGATGCGACCAAGGTGTTGATCCATTCCACTGTCCTTTCTCGCCTTGACTACTGTAATCCGCTTCTCAGTGGTCTTACGTGCTCCCAACTTGCGCCGTTACAGTCAATAATGAATGCGGCGGCGAAGCTCATCTTCCTGTCCGCCCGCACCTCCCATGCCTCACCCTTCTGTCAGTCCCTAAATTGGCTTCTTATAAAATATAGAGCTCAATTTAAAATTCTGGTTCTTGCTTTCAAATCTCTACATAATGCTGTTCCCACCTATCTATCCTCCCTTGTACACAAGTATGTCCCGTCTAGGCCCTTACGATCTGCTGAAGACTTACGTCTATCTTCTGTCCGTACTCCCACCTCTGATGCTTGCCTTCAAGATTTCTCGAGGGCTGCACCATTCCTGTGGAACTCGCTTCCCTCCTCTGTTAGATGCTCACCCAGTCTCCACTCCTTCAAAAAATCGTTAAAAACCCACTTCTTCATAAAAGCGTATCAATTAAACTGTTAATAGCTCCTGACTGATTCCTCTTCTGCAACTGTCACAAGTCTAATACTATCCTTACCTTTTTGTGTCATTTTACCCCACTCCCTCTAGCATGTAAGCTCATTGAGCAGGGCCTTCAACCCCTCTGTTCCTGTGTGTCCAACTTGTCTGGTTACAACTACATGTCTGTTCGACCACCCATTGTAAAGCGCTGCGGAATTTGATGGCGCTATATAAATATCATAATAATAATAATAATAATATAGCCTTCAGCCTTGCTGGTCTCACTGCGGCCACTGCTTCTCCCAGGCTGAGATCATCATTACTGATGATCTCAGCCAATCCATTGTCTCCCCATAAAGAAGTACTGGGGGGGGGGAGGGGGGTGGCGTATGTGTGGCAATCACTGTGGAGCATCAATCATTATCTCTTCATTGACCTGTATTAGGTCAATGCATCTCGATGGGGAGCGTTCGGCGTCTTCATGCAGAGCGAGGAGACATTAAACGCTATTCCTCCAAAGGTTGCAGGGCTGCACTAAAAGCCCATCTATCAGCTGTCTGAGTGATATTCCACTGGAGGAGGCAATATAAACACAGATTTTTCACAGAAAAGGCAATTTTGTCCATCCAATAATTGGAGTCATTAACTGGCTTTAAGGGAGGTGGGATATTTCATATATTAAATTTGCCATGGACTCTATCCTGAGATGTTTCTGGAGTCGAGCACTGCTCCTGATCACAGACAAGGTACACATAGCCATGTACATCAGGAGATCAGCGAGAACACGTTCCCGCAAATCAAATAACATGGATTCATTTCATATGTTTGGGAAATGTCCTAAAGCACTCTAGCCACCATATGCGCATCCAACAAATTCACAGTTATACTGAAGAGGAAACATTTCTGACACAATTGACATTGTATATATATGAGAGAGAGAGAGAGAGAGAGAGAGAGAGAGAGAGAGAGAGAAAAGAAGGAAGAACGGAGTTAAAATGAATGCAGCAGCTTAATCCCTGAGACTTGTGACAGGGAAAGTCTTATCTCTTCACCATATTGTGGGATACTCTGTATCCTGGTTCCACAGAATGTGTTCATGATATTAACATTTTACAGCTGACACTGCGATTGATGAATGATCAAAAGACCGGCGTCTCATTCTGATCTAATTGGATGGCCGTCCACACAATGTATAGCGTGTCTGTGCATTTCACTTGTGTGGTAACACTGACAATAGAGGGATGTATGTCTTCCTACACACTGAAGTAGCTTTAACCTAAATAACATGACATCCTACATTGTAGGATAGTAATATATGTTAAAAAAAAAAATCTAAAAATATCTCGTAGGCAGTGCATGGCGAGCGTGAGGATAGATAATAGATACTTTGGGAGGGATGTAGGCAGAAAAGGGCACATATTAAAGAGAAGGAGAGAGATACGCAGAAAACAGAGTATATAAATTAAACCGGTTAGCGTTAATGGAAAGTAATATTAACTGCGTGTAGCGTATGGGAGGCCCAGACATGATAACCAGGATCCCCGGGCAAAGTAACCTGGTACAGTTATCTGGGATCATGTACTCTGTGCCTAGCACCCAGGGGCATTAGATAACGGAATCTTCTGATTTGAAGATTTGGCGCAGAGATGACCATGCAATATAGCCATCACATTTGTACTTTCTATTTTTTAGGATGTCTGATGTCGGGATTCATGAATGCACACTAGCTGCTTAATTTGGTCGGTATTGGGCCAAAACGGACTAAACATCGCTACCCCCAAACAGCAATGGAATGCCATGAGATGCATATGTATCCAATGCAAATAATGCACACAAAGGCTAGAATACATGTAATTTCTCATTTTAAAACCATAATTTAATATGTTTGATAATTTCCCCATTACCACCACTGCCTTATTAAGTGCAATAGATGGAGATTTGATTCTAGAGGGAGTTATAAGGTGAACTCTAGACACCATAAACAGGTTAACATATTAAAGTGGTTTTGGTGCCCGGAGTCTGCATCACTGCTATACAGTTCACTCACAGTTTAGCAGAGATGATCGGTCCCCGGTTGCCTGTTGCCTAGTATCCAATTATGATATGGTATATACAGAATTATGATCATTCTCTTGTCATTCCGGGAGGAATGGGCAATAAAAGACAGAGCAACATCTAAGTGATCGCCGTCTATCATTGCCAGTAATCCCAAGTATGAATTAGAAAGACATGGAGTATCACCCCACCTTCGCCATATAGTATTTGGGGACGAGGCTGCCGGGGACTGAGCCTCTCTGCTAAACAGTGAGTCAATGGTTGAACTGTGAGGCATGACCCAGCACATGCAGTCTCTAGTCACCATAACCACTGTAATCAGTTGATGTAATTATAGTGCTGCAGTGTCCCGTTAATGAAGATATTTTACACAGTACATTAAAATATATACAACACAGTTTAACCCCTGAAGGGCACATGACATGTGTGACATGTCATGATTCCCTTTTATTCCAGAAGTTTGGTCCTTAAGGGGTTAAGAAAGTGTGACTGATCTAAGTTTACAAAAGAAAAACGGGTCGCCAACATAATCCGATATAAGAATTTTGGATCCCTGCCAAAAAAAAAAAAAGCTTAAGAATCATTGGTCTAAATCTTGAAAATGACTTGTAAATTGGCTATATACCAACCTGCCACGCAACGTAAAAAAATACACATGAGCATGTCAGCTGGTTATTGTTCTTCCAATATATCATGACTATAAACTCATAATGTACGACGAGCATTGAATTCTTTTTAATTAGGTGTTGTGCGATTATATTGATGTATTCTATTTAAACGTATGATACTGTAGCTTCATGGAGATAATCTCATGCTCCCAGAACACAATACTGCTATCCTGAGCAATGTTTGGAAATAGCACACACATTATCAATCTGGGTCAACTACCGCGGTTATAAACTGATCAGTTAATGTTCTCCAACAGACGTGGAGATTCCCTAGGTCCCAGCTGGAGGAAAACCAATATGGAGAAGGTGATCACGGAATTGCTTGCAACGCATCTTAAAGGAAGACTATGCAAATGTGTATTTCTAAAGCTATCGTTTTTTTTAATCAGCTATATTGGTGTTCCCCTCCACTGAGATGAAGTGGTCTGGGTGCCTTTATTGTTCCTTTAACATGTCAACAGTAGAAATAAGGGAACTCTGTGGAACTGCGTCAGAGTCCAAGTAGAAATAACTGCTAGACCTATGAGGTCTCACGCATATTCTAGAAGTACATCTAAACCATCAAAACAGTTTTGGACCGAAATGTAAATGTATCATCATCTTATACATCCTTTATGATCTTTATTTTGAACATGTGGATATGACTCTACTGTGTTCAAAGGAAGAAGAGATTATTGTTCTGGATTCTATTATCAAAAGATAAAAATATCTTGGGTAGCTGAATAGCAATTATCCTATCAATGTCAATGGAGATGTTTCTATTGTGATACCAGCGTTACGGGGAACCTATAATGAATATACATTTTTTTCTGGACTTAAGGTTCCCTTCTAGCAAGGCGATCATTGTCCATTCCCCTTTGCTTTAAATTTTTTTTACGTTTTATAAAGATTACTTACTGTGTCCAACCTACTGGTCACCTTCCCGGGTACATGGCTCCTCAAACCCCCACCCTTCTCTCAAAAGACTTATCACTATGGACTAACTCTCCAGCCTATATCTCCAAACCCAGTACCCCTTTGTTGCCACCATTTGTCGGCTGATGAGGTACGGTGCACATGACCGGGAGGAACCCTAACTTTCCTGGAACTCCTTAGCAGAGCGCAGAGTCGCCGTGGTCTGCTAAAACCTCAACCAGAGAGCTTTCGGTCCTAGGACCATCAAACTGGGCACTTTTTGGAGAGTTAGCAGAGGGGGTGGTGAGGCATTGAAAGACACCAAGGACTTGGGGGAGCTCCATGTACCCAGGGAAAACACTGTTTTTAGGTGACCGAGGAACTCAAACTCTGAGCTGAGTCCCACTAAACTTTGGTCTTCTGTCTAATTCGGGCTAGCCATATCCGATCCAGGCGCTTTTCGTACAGAATGGGCATTCCAGAGAGACGTTTTCAGGGATATATGACAAGTTGGGGTGCTCTGTTATATGATGTTTGTTTTTTGGGGGATTTCTTATTGCGCTCTCTGTATCTGGGAGATAATGAGTTTAACCGAGAGCTACAATTATCTCCCAGACACAGAGGTGCCTGGGCGTGCTTTTGTTATACTGAATGAGGACCCCCATTCTTGTGCTTTGCCTCAATAAAGTCAGTTCATTTTCATCCTCCGCTAAGTCTCGGCTAGAGCTTGGGGGAGACAGCGGTACATTATGCAGGACAGCTTAATCACTCTGGAGCTTTTACACTAAGGGAACAGACAACCTAGATGAACTCCTTCACTGCGACAGTCAACTCTGCCTCCGACAATGACATCATTCCTGCAGACATCTCTCCCGTAATCTCGTCCAATCCAATGCCTCTCATAAAGAAGCATTGGGGACGAAAAAATAGTAAAATGCTGCAGTACTCCAATCAAATCCTTCTATCAGCAGCATTTGACTGAAGAACCAAGCTTGATTGGGTTCTGGATGCAGATGTGCCTCTAGTGGCAGTCATGAAGACCGCCACTAGGGATGTATTTAACCCTTCATTAGGATAATATGTTCTAGGTGACTCTAGTGGTCCTTTAAGTTTGCTATGCTTCCAGTTTCAGCTATTTGTGTCTAATATTTGAGATTTACTTTGAATTCCAAACAATTCTCACTTTATGGAATACGCCTGCAAGTGTTCTGACCAAATTAATTCTTTTTTAGAAGTCCTCTGTTCACACTTTCCATGTAGAAACGGAATGTCTTAGAGGGAACTCTGGGTTGGACCTATTTAAAGAGCTTGTTTTAATCAATTACTCATGGGAGTTATTTTGAAGGATGTATGAAGGGCACCACAGCACGAAGAAAAAAAATAATACACTGCACATGCAAGAAATTTTAAAAACAGCAGTTGCAACGAAGATTTTAAAAGCAAACAGACACAGTTTAGGTTTTGCAGCAATTTTTTAAATTTATGAATAAGAAAAGCGGAATATTCTACAATGTAAAGCCAGCTACTTATATACTCTGACTAAATAATATGGAGCGAGAAAGGGAATAATAGAGTAAAACTCACTCGCCTAGTTACATAGAGAGCCCAACAATTCTCATCTGTGTTTGGCATCAATCCTGACATAGAAATATCAAGAGTTTCTCATCAGTGGATAATATCACTTCAGTATAAAACAGGGCCAGAGTTTTTCATCAGTGGATAATAACACCTAGATAGAAAGCAGGTCCAGAGTTTCTCATCAGTGGATAATAACACCTAGATAGAAAGCAGGTCCAGAGTTTCTCATCAGTGGATAATAACACCTCAAAATAAAGCAGGGCCAGAGTTTCTCATCAGTGGATAATAACACCTAGTTATAAAGCAGGTCCAAAGTTTCTCATGAGTGGATAATAACACCTAGATATAAAGCAGGTCCAAAGTTTCTCATGAGTGGATAATAACACCTAGATATAAAGTAGAGCCAGTTTCTCATCAGTGGATAATAACACCTCGATATAAAGCAGAGCCAGAGTTTCTCATCAGTGGATAATAACACCTAGATATAAAGTAGGGCCAGAGTTTCTCATCAGTGGATAATAACACCTCGATATAAAGCAAGTCCAAAGTTTCTCATCAGTGGATAATAACACCTAGATATAAAGCAGGTCCAAAGTTTCTCATCAGTGGATAATAACGCCTAGATATAAAGCAGGTCCAGTTTCTCAACAGTGCATCAGTGGGTAATCATTGACATCAGTAGATTCTATTTCTACCCTGACCAGTTTAATGCAAGAATTTAAAGTGAATTTCAAATTTAAGGCCAAAGTAGCTAAACTGGAAGCATAATAGGACATAGTCTTAAATTAGAGGGGCAAAGGTTTAAAAATAATATCAGGAAGTATTACTTTACTGAGAGGGTAGTGGATGCATGGAATAGCCTTCCAGCTGTAGTGGTAGAGGTTAACACAGTGAAGGAGTTTAAGCATGCGTGGGATAGGCATAAGGCTATCCTAACTATAAGATAAGACTAGGGAGTAATGAAAGTATTTAGAAAATTGGGCAGACTAGATGGGCCGAATGATTCTTATCTGCTGTCACATTCTATGTTTCTAACAGAGATTTTTCTTTTCTAGGTTGGCTATTTTGAATTCATGTTGAATTCACTTTGAATTCTTACTTTAGTGAGAGTATTTTAATGTAATATTGATGAATAGGAGATTTTTATTTTTACAATGCATGTATTCATCTAAGCCCGTTTTAGTGAATAATCCCCTAGGTCTCTAATAGTCAGAGATCAGTTGCAATTTAAAGTCCATGTTGATCTTGATCATGACATTCGAAGCTGAATTATTTCTTGATATTTTATTTTTTTATTTTGCAAAGGCCGAGTTGCACATTAATTAAGGAATTTCTGATGGATTCTGGAGTCCCATCATTACAAAGTATCTACAATAGGGATGTCCCAAAGTAGCCCACCTGCTGTCTTTGGGTTAGCGACCATCACGGGAACCATAGGGACTGCCTTTAGATCATCCTTATAGCAGAAAATTTGACTTTAACATCAACATTTTGCTTCACCCCCATCAAATAGTCCACGATAAGAGGAAATGATGAATAAAACTTGACATTTAGCTACAGAGAATGTGTCTGCTATTCACTTTATTAAATTACGATACACAGATAAAAAAAATAGAATCCCAGTGTGTTCAAACAGAATGAAAAATAAATTCCCGAAACTTCAGAGGAAAGAATAGATATATTCACTATACAACACCATTCTTCTGCCGCATTTATTATCAGACTCTGTGCTTTCAATTACCCTAAAGGGCACTTCTGAAATTGCTCCGTAATTTGGGGTTCTTCTCTTCTTGTACTACGGTGATATGATAACAGGGGTTTCCTGAGCACTGGTTAGCAGTTATTGTTTCCGAACAATAGCTGAACTTATGTTTTTTCCATTTTCATATTGAGATATTGTAGGTGTTATGCATAAGAACCATTCATGGGCCAAGATGTAAAAGATGAGGTCGCCGTGGAAACCAGTGGTGAATGCGGATTGCTCAACTTTTACAACCACTACGTTCTGCCCAATATTTGTGGCTCCTCTCCCTTCACTTATATTTAAAATCTCCGCAGAATTCGAAACAAAATATGTGTTGTGTTACCTGCACGTTATGAACTTATTATGAGTGATATGAACTTTTCATAAGGGGGGTCTTTCCCATTCCGGTAATCATTCCATCCAGACACAAACGTCACATTTCACCTCTTGCTGTTCGGCTTCTAGTTTTTATGAACTTGTTTGGATGTGCTCGCTTTAATCTTACTTGTAGCATCAACATCACGGTCATCTTCCCCTGCACTGCTTTCTGGTGTCCGTGTTCCCACTGCCTTCACAATCACAGGTACTCACCCACGGCTCCATCGATTGACGCTAGCTCATGGTTATGATGTAAGACATCCTCCAGCATTATCTACTGACGCTGGACACATTCTCACGCATCATACACTGACATAGCAGCCTTTTATAGGGGGTTTGGTTTTATTCTTTTTACCAAAATATTGCCTCTCGGTGCACAATAAATGTTCCTTCTGGTCTTCGGTAAAAAAAAGCAAAGTGGCAGCGCTTAAAGGAACTCTACAGCATTCGGAATATAAACCTGTATTCCTAAAGCTATATTGCCCTTGCCTCTAATTCTCTATAGGACTCCCCCTTCACCACCCCCCCCCCATGTGCATTAAAAATAAACAAAACTTTTCCCAGTACAGAAGTTCCCTTGGTGCTACTCACCACTCCCCCTCCCATGGCATCCTCAAAGAGGTATGACCTCATCGCAATGGTCCAATCCTTAGATGATCATTGCGGACCTGTTGCGTATGCGTAGTGAGTGCTGTGTGCGCATCCAAAGTTCCCCATATGAAAATATTGTATTCGGTGCTTTCCTATTCCATGTCAGGTGGCCATGTTTTACTTGGCTCTCGTTAAGACAGCCAGTAGAAGTGCATTTAATCCTGAAATGTAAGCATCGCCATTTCTTCAAAACTACAATGTTTTACATTACAGGGTTAAAAGGACAGGGCCACTGCATCCAGAACACTTCATTAAGATTAAGTGGTCTAGGTGACTATAGTGTCCCTTTAAAAGGGTAATTTTTTTCCAACTAGTGAGAAAGGTTAATAGTTAATTTATCAATTGTTGTACATGTTCAAAATCTCAGGTTTGATCCCTCAAAGGACCAACAAAGCCATTTATCTTAATAAAGGTCTATAAAGTAAGAATAATGTATTCAGAAAAACAACATCTATATCTCAGGACTCACTTGATCATTAAAGGAGAACTCTCACTTCCCGCTATTTATAATATATTTACACATCCATATATTTAACATATCTGTGTGGTTTGAAAAATAAAGTTAAATGTAGAAATCTATATAGATGTAGAAACCTCTTTATCCCTCAATCTGTCCATTGCACTTGGCAGTCAGCATAGAGAGCAGAGAGAGATCCTACCAAGAAGAGGAGACATGAAACATTGTGTCTATTTCTCCTTCTCATTTGCATTATTTGCCCTTAGTGCTCCTTGTCTGAACTGGATTATTCTGTCATTTATTAAATCTTTAATAGAAATTTTAAAGAAAACAAGGCATCTTATTATTTTTATTATTGTGTTATTATTTATATAGCGCCAACAAATTCCGCAGCGCTTTACAATGGGTGGACAAACAGACATGTAGTTGTAACCAGACAAGTTGGACACACAGGAACAGAGGGGTTGAGGGCCCGGCTCAATGAGCTTACATTCTAGAGGGAGTGGGGTAAAATGACACAAAAAGGTAAGGATAGTATTAGACTAGTGACAGTTGCAAGAGAGGAATCAGTCGGAAGCTATTAACCGGTTAATTGATACACTTTTATGAAGAAGTGGGTTTTTAATGATTTTCTTAAGGAGTGGAGAATGGATGAGCGTCTATCGGTTATACATGAGTTTAGGTGTTCTATTAAATGGTGTAAATGAGAAGTAACAGTTCCTCTTAAAAAAAATATCTAAATGGATGCTTTTTTCAGACACATTTTAATGCATATTATTATTTTCTGACAAAGGTAGTAATCTATAGGCTTCCGACAACTTACAATACAACCTGCAGTTATCAGAAACTTCAAAAGCACAGAATCTCTCCCATTAATCCTGATCAAACATCGTCGGGCCCCGAGTCTTCAATACCAACACACATTTATTCCGACACAGATAAAAAGCTTACTAATTAGACTTTTGAACATTGAATCACCTACCTAGTGGCTAGATACATGTGCAAGAAAGAATGAATGGAAAAGGAAAATAAAGAGAGACTACAGATAACCAGTGTCTTCTCAAAGATGGAATATTAAATAAACGAACCACATGTCTACAAAGAAATCTAAGGTAAACTATTTTTCTACTTTATTTCACCCTCATATTGTGCAGGCGGTGCTTTTGCTCAATTTTGTTCCTATGCAGTTTTCAAGCCCTGAATGTTCAGTAAATAATCTGGTGGTTCGCACGAGCAATGCTGTACAAAATGATTTGGATTGTGATATTTGATAATTAAACCACAGCCTCTATGTCATGCTTATTTACAACAACACAGTGATAGCGGATGACGGAATCAAAGCAGAATCAGACATGGGGGTTTAATAGGCAGATGTTCATATTTTAGTCTTACAAACAAAAAAATGTACGTTTCCATGATATTATTATAGTGGCAGTTTTGTACAATTTCTCATACACACACATAAAAGTTATAGTTATGGTCTCAGACGGTATATTACATGTATATGTTCTGCTATGCACATCATACCTATACATGGGGTAAATTCACGAAAATGGCACGAAAATTCAGAGGACAGGCCCAGTCTGTACTTTCTACACTTTACCTGGCAGTAGAGAGGAGAGTTAAAGGACTATTGTCAGGACAGTGTTCTATTTTGATAGAACATCACAGGATAGACATTTATTTATTTATAAAATATTTTACCAGGAAAGATACATTGAGATTTCTCTCGTTTTCAGGTATGTCCTGGGACAGTTGCAGGAAATCGGAATGTGGGGTGGATGGATAAGCATAGAATGATTTGAGATTTTGTCTAACCCGTATCAGCACAGCGACTCTGTCCTTTGAGATACATTGTTTACTTTATAATTTGATCAGCATTCAGCAATTTACAGAACCCACGGTAATATTTCTTCTGAAAGCAGATGGGTGAAATACTCAATTAGGATATATTAAATAACGAACAATGCCCCATTCAATCCAAGTAACTTGTATGACTGAAACAATCTGAATCCTTGACATAATTTATGGGTCTATCGTAACTAATTTTACAATAGGTGCCCTTATGCATGTTTTCTTACCTGTACTTAAATAAATAAACAAAAATCTCAGGTAAGATGAGAATACACAAGGACGGCTTTGTGGGTTTGTTTTTTTTATAACACGCAGTCTGTTAGACTCATAACACCAATTAATGATAAAGTGATTAATCTGGTTTTATAATGTCAGCTGCTAATACACACTAGATATTAACTACAGAATGTGTAAATATTAACTATTGTCTTAACTCTCTTTGCTAATACATTCATTGGGCGTCAATCGATCAAAGCAGTACTAGCAAGGTTATTCAATAAACGGCGAATTGTCACCAATAAATAGTTAATTTCCAATTTGAAGCGGCTCTGCCACTAGATAGATCCCTTGACTTCGAGCAGAGGTATATCTTGCTTTACCCCTTAAGGACCAAACTTCTGGAATAAAAGGGAATCATGACATGTCGCACATGTCATGTGTCCTTAAGGGGTTAAGGCCTACAAATTCCCCCCTCAACTTCTTCTGGTCTTGCTGGTACTTCCTTTTTGATGCCGCCATCTTACAGATCCTAAGATGGTGGTGCCCAAAAGTAATTTATTTTGCCCTTTCCTGGGCATGAACATAAAATAATGCGCATGCCCAGGGGATCCAGTGGCTTCGGTTTTAATTATCGCGAAACTGCTATGTTTTCAGCTGCAGGGTTAAAACTAGAGGGACCTGGCACCCAGACCACTTCATTGAGCTAAAGTGGTCTGGGTGCCTATAGTGGTCCTTTAAGGTTATACATAACAAAAAGTATTATTTTTCATTATGTATAATTTGGTAAATATGGATAATATAAGAAGTAAATAAAAACATCCATGTAAAAAAATAAAAATAAAAAATAGGCCAAAATAGCCAAATTGGAAACATTCTTCAAGTCAGTTACTCTTCCAGTTTGGCTACTTAAATTCCCTGTAAAATCCCATCAATTCTCACTCAGTAAATAACCCTGTTAATGTCCACGCTGTTATACTCACTGCCAGGCTATTTAATGCAACAATTCAGTTTTCAATCCAATACAAATACGTGTTGTTGTTTTTTTTTTTAATAAACCCCATGTATAAATAGACTGTAAACCACTATGACTAATTCAAATGTCTCATATCCTTTGTCCGTGTATTTTAATATTTTGCATTTAAGCACAGCAAGTGGCCAAATGAATGTCTCCAAATAGTGAACTGATAATGTACACTTGTACTTTAGTGATATATTCAGTTCCTACTTGTTACAGTTGTATCACTATAATTATTGGTTTATCACTATAATTATGATCACAATGTGATTTATAACTGCTTCTTTTTTGACCTGGTGAGTCATATACTATATAAACCAGTTTGGATAAATGCTGGATGGGGTTGCTATGGTAACAGACTAGTGATACTGATTGATTATTGATACTTTAAATATTACTAAGTTGCTACATTATATTTAACAAAACTGCAGTTTTATTCTGTGATTTAGCTTTCTACAGCGAGTTCAGTTTAGATAAATTACAATAATTACTGCCAGCATTTCAGGACTAATTCATAAAAAGCCATTGTGAATTAAGGTTCTACAGTCCATATTTATTAAGGTTAAACTGGAACACTTCCAGGGCAAAGTACTTTATGTGGACAGGTATTCTGTTGGTTGCCATGGTAAATGTACCTAATTCAGCACTTTGCCCCCAGAATTGCACCTGTTATTCATTGATAAATATGGCCTTATAAGTGGAAAGATCTGGTGTAATAAAATTTACCACCTGCAGTTAGACAGACATTACAGTCTGACACAATGAATTTAATAAATATTTAGAATTCACTTTTTCTACGAGGAATGCATAAAATTGTCTGTTTGAAACATTTCATTTAAATATTTATTGAACTCCCTCATAATAGCTTTCATTTTCTCTATATTTATAGGAGGGTTAAGAGGTGGTTACAGATCATTATTGCCTGTATTCCTTTAAAGAGTTATGTGTACAGAGTGCAGTACAGTACTCTCAATGGAACACTCTTACCTAAAAATATTATTCTAATACAGCAAGCAAGTGTGTCACAGTGGACCAAGATGCTGTACTTTCTTACACAATGACATCACTGAGCACACCTTCTCTCCTGCACTAACACTGTGACATCACTGAGCACACCTTGTCTCCTGCACTAAGAAGATGACATCACTGAGCACACCTTGTCTCCTGAACTTTCTAACACTGTGACATCACTGAGCACATCTTCTCTCCTGCACTAACACTGTGACATTACTGATCACACCTCCTCTCCTGCACTAAGACGATGACATCACTGATCACACCTTGTCTCCTGCACTGTCTAATACTGTGACATCACTGAGCACTTCTCTCCTGCACCAAGACGATGACATCAGTGAGCACACCTCACCTGCACTTTATAACAGGATGATATCACTAAGCACACCTTGTCCCCTGCACTTTCTAACACAGTGACATCACTGAGCACACCTTGTCCCCTGCACTAACACTGTGACATCACTGAGCACAACCTTGTCTACTACACTACTACTTTGACATCACCGAGCACACCTTCTTTCCTGCACTACCACTGTGACATCACCGAGCACACCTTCTCTCCTGCACTACCACTGTGACATCACCGAGCACACCTTCTCTCCCGCACTAACACAATGACATCACTGAGCACACCTTGTCTCCTGCATTAAAGTAATGACATCCTATAGTAACACTCCCCCCACACCCCCTTATACTGGAAATAGTAACACATATTCCCTGTTATACTGGCTATAGTAACAACCCCTTATACTGGCTCTAGTAACACACATCCCCTGTTATACTCTCTACAGTAACACACACCCTCTGTTATACTCTCTATAATAACACACATCCTCTGGTATACTCTCTATAGTAACACACATCCCCTGTTAAACTGCATATAATAACACACAGCCCCTTATACTGCCTATAATAACACCCCCCCCCGTTATACTGGCTATAGTAACACACATCCCCTGTTATACTGGCTATAGTAACACACATCCCCTGTTATACTGGCTATAATAACACACATCCCCTGTTATACTGGCTATAGTAACACACATCCCCTGTTATACTGGTAACACACATCCCCTGTTATACTGGCTATAGTAACACACATCCCCTGTTATACTGGCTATAGTAACACACATCCCCTGTTATACTGGCTATAGTAACACACATCCCCTGTTATACTGGCTATAGTAACACACACCCCCTGTTATACTGGCTATAGTAACACACATCCCCTGTTATACTTCCTATAATAACATACATTACATTAAGCTCTATGTACTGTATATAGTAACACTGTTCCACTGTATATAGTAACACACCCGTTACTCTGTATATAGTAACATATCCCGCATTGAATTCTAAACTTTCATTCACATTAATCGAATTCAGTTTTCCAACTTGTTACATTTTGAATCTATATACTCCCTGTGATCAGTGCTACCTCTCAGTAATAGACACTGTACACATCACTCCTACATGCAAAGTATTCTCTGCAAATACTGTATACATCACTCCTACATTCTAAGTATACACTACTCACACTGTACACATCACTGATACATTCTATGTATACACTACACACACACTGTATACATCGCTCCTACATTCCAAGTATATACTACACACACACTGTATACATCACTCCTACATTCTAAGTATACACTACTCACACTGTACACATCACTGATACATTCTATGTATACACTACACACACTGTTTTCATCACTCCTACATTCTAAGTATACACTACACACTGTATACATCACTCCTACATTCTAAGTATACACTACACACTGTATACATCACTCCTACATTCTAAGTATACACTACACACACTGTACACATCACTCCTAATGTCTACGTATACACTGCACACACTCTATACATCATTGATACATTCTAAGCATTCACTACACACTTATTCGTCACTCCTATATTTTAAGTATACACTACACACCCTGTACGGAATTAGTACATTATCGTATACACTGCACTCAGGACTGAAATTGTTAGCATTATCAGTGTCTACAGAGGGATACAATCTCGCGAATACAATTTACACAGCAATGATACATTCTCTCCACAAAATAAACGGCACTGATACATTCACATCATATACACAGTATTTAGCACGGATACATTCTCAGTATATACGCTATATACAGCATTAACACATTCCTAGTATACAATCAGCAAGGATACATGCTCAGTATATACGCTATATACAGCATTAACACATTCCTAGTATACAATCAGCAAGGATACATTCTCAGTATATACGCTATATACAGCATTAACACATTCCTAGTATACAATCAGCACGGATACATTCTCAGCATATACACTATATACACATTCTCAGTATATACGCTTTATACAGCATTAACACATTCCTAGTATACAAACTGCACGATACATTCACAGCATATACACAGTACTCAGCACGGATACATTCTCAGTATATACACTATACATAGCAATAATGCATACCTAGTATACACACGGCACACAGCACGGATACATTCTCAGTATATACACAGCATTAATACATTCCTAGTATACAAACTGCACGGACATATTCACAGCATATACACAGTACTCAGCACGGATACATTCTCAGTATATACACTATACACAGCATTATTGCATTCCTAGTATACAATCAGCAAGGATACATTTTCAGTATATACACTATACACAGCATTAATGCATTCCTAGTATACAAACTGCACACAGTACTGATACATTCACTGCATATACACAGAACTCAGCGGGATACATTCTCAGTAAATACACAGTACTCAGCACGGATACATTTTCAGTATATACACAGCATTAATGCATTCCTAGTATACAAACTGCACATAGCACTGATACATTCACAGCATATACACAGCACTCAGCAGGGATACATACTCAGTATATACACTATACACAGCATTAATGCATTCCTAAGATACAATCTGCACATACCACTGATACATTCACAGCATATATACTCAGCAGGGATACATTCTTAGTATATACACTATACACAGCATTAATACACTCCTAGTATACAAACTGCACACAGCTATGATACATTCTCAATATATACTTTGCAAATAACACTGATGCATACACCGTACTCAGCAAGGATACATTCGTAGGATAAACTCAGTACTCAACAGTAATATATTCTCGATATTAGAAATGTACACAGCACAGATACATTCTCAGTATACACGCTGTACACAGCACTGATACATTATTAGTATACACACTGTGCAAAGCAGGGATACATTCTCAGTATACACACTGCACAGAGCACTGATACATTATTAGTATACACGCTGCTCTCAGCACTAATACATTATTAATATACACGCTGTACAGCACTGATACATTATTAGTATAAACGCTGTACACAGCAGGGATACATTATTAGTATACACGCTGCTCTCAGCACTGATACATTATTAGTATACACGCTGTACAGCACTGATACATTATTAGTATATACGCTGTACACAGCAGGGATACATTATTAGTATACACGCTGCTCTCAGCACTGATACATTATTAGTATATACGCGGTACACAGCAGGGATACATTATTAGTATACACGCTGCTCTCAGCACTGATACATTATTAGTATACACGCTGTACAGCACTGATACATTATTAGTATATACGCTGTACACAGCAGGGATACATTATTAGTATACACGCTGCTCTCAGCACTGATACATTATTAGTATATACGCTGTACAGCACTGATACATTATTAGTATATACGCTGTACACAGCACTGATACATTATTAGTATATACGCTGTACAGCACTGATACATTATTAGTATATACGCTGTACACAGCACTGATACATTATTAGTATACACACTGTACACAGTACTGATACATTATTAGTATACACGCTGTACACAGCACTGATACATTATCTGGGGCTCAGTTCCAGTAGTAGCTGAGCAGACTTGCCTCCTGCAATGTTCATCATCCAATTAATCTGCCCTACCCAGCCTGTTCAGAAATATACCTGGGGTGATACAGATTTTTCTGTTGCCCAGTATGTACAGACACAGAATTGGTACATGCCATTATCAATTAACCATTTATTACTACCATGCAATCTGATGCCCCATACTGGCACTTGCCATCTCCTATACCCATTACAGTAATAGCCTGCAATGATCAAACACAGCTGGGTTTGTTCTGGTAATTATAATCTTTAACATATATACCCTCTACTGGGGCAATTACTAACATGAATTTCTATCCCTAATGAGATCACTTTAGAAACATTTACACAGGTTCCCTGCCCATCTCTATCCCTGATAAAACTATTCCACCTCACTTGCCCTGGTTCCTGTTAGATGGCCCACAAAGAGACAGTTTCTTTACAGTTTGGACAATCTCATCCATTGCAACCCCTAACCCACTACACATTGATACCCCATTGCTGCCCCTACCGTACTACACATTGATATCCCATTACTGCCCCTTCCCTACTACACATTGATACCTTTATTTTTACACAGCACGCAGGCACTGGACATTGCTATGGCTATAATGATACATATAATGAGTGATACCCCTCACAGGGGCATTTAGCAGGCGGTCACTTATGTATGTACCTCTCCAATGCTGATAACTCAGGACGGACTACATTGCCCAGCATTGCCCCAAACAAGGGGCACATTGATTCACTTCCCTGGGTCCTTATTAAGGACTTATAGTGAGGGACTTCTCCGGCTCCTAATTATTACCCTACATTGGGACATGTAATATTTATTTATTAATATCCTACAGATGGGCATTCATACCCCATAGCGGGGTATGTGCCCAGGTCCTCACTAATACCCTACAGTTATTTATTAATATTTAATAGTGAGTTTACCTGTCTAGTTCCTACAGGGAGGCATTTTACCATTAATGCCCTGCAGTGGGGCACTTGGAGAATTGTCAGCTCCTGTGCCCAGCCCAGCCTCAGGAATCCCTGGTCCCATGATACCCCCATGTCAGCCCGCAGCCCCCTCCCCATGTATAAGGTTAGTGTTTCCATTGACCAGTTCTGGTTACTTTATTACCAATACCCACAGGGGGGCTCCTACCTGTGTCCTCCATTTGGAAGTCCCCCTCCTGGTAGTACATGGTGTCCAGGTTCAGAGTTGCTCCCCCTGCTCACAGTCCGGGTGCCGGTTCATGTCTCCGTGTCTCCCGGCTCCCAGACCCTCTCCCCCCGAGCTCCGCGCACAGAATGCCCCCCCACCCCCGGCCGGCTGGGGCTAAGCATGCGTGACGTCACGAGCAGCCGGCCAATCAGGAGCCGGTCCACAGCCCATCTCTCCCACCTGGCGGCAGCTGGATGTGGGATTCACATCACACCCCTTCCATGCCGGGCTGCATGGGCACAGTATGGGGGGGGCACAGTGTAGGGGGGGTATAGGGGGGC